GCGGTTTATGTCTGCGTTTTCAAATAAAGACGCGAGCAACGCCGTGAGTCGCCGTGAGCAACAAACAAAACTAAACATTTTTTTGTGTGTGTGTGTGCACGTCCCCGAAGGAGAGAAGGGAGGGGGCAAGGTGCATGGCTGGCATGGCGCATCGCGTCCTTCTCCCTCCCTTTCCCCCCTCGCGTACCGAGGGGCGTGCCGAAGCTGCGCGGCAGCGGAGACATGGAACTTGATGCCCGAGGTATGCGCGCGAGCGGCGGCCACGGCGGGGGAGAGGGGGGTTTGCTGCTGTTTTGGTTGTTTTTCGAGCACCAAAAGCTTTTTGAAACATGAAGCGGCACGACTCCACGGCGACGAATAAATACGGCAGTTTCGGTTTCGGTGGCTGGCATTGCCGCGAAGTGGTGTAGGCGGGAACCGCATCCTCGTTTCTAGGCCGACCCCCGAGTTCCGATTTTAATTTTTTTTATAAAAACTATCGGCCTAGATTCGAGTAAATACGGTATTTCTACATGTGCGGAGAAAAAGATAGGTACCGTTACTTACAAGTTCTGCTGCATACGCGCTTAGTGTTCTATAGCGTGCAGCAAAAAGGCTAGTGCTTTAATATATACGAAATTTTAACCTTATATCCTGTCACTTTCCGTCACATGCTCATCCTTCTGACGATGCACTGGGCAGCCCCGCCTTTCTACCAAAAATGAGCCCGAAAATATTTAGAGGCGAGTTCAGTGGATAGCATTTTTAGCTTGCAAGATTGAGACCCAAAGAAACTATCTTTTATAGAGTCTTAAATCACATAGCTTTTGATGCAGTACAAAAGAAATTTTACTACTCACCTTCACCTTCTAAATCTGAAGATGCAGACCGGCTTCCTTCCGCGGAACGTGGCGCTTTATCCATGTTAGAAGAATCGCAGGTTGTGGCGTAACTTGTAGCTCGGAGTTTGCAATCAAGAAAAAAGAACAAACATCGAAACACAAGAGCCAGGCAGTGGGCAACGGAGATGCACAAGGCACGGAGTCTTTTGTCGAGTTCTCTTTCTGTCTGACGATCCCGTCACGTCTTCACCATAGCGCTCTTTCTTTTGGGGCATCAAATTTCCCTGGTTCCTGCCCAGCTTGTGATCTCCGCTCGCACCGTGTTAGGTGCTTATACTGTCTGCGTGAGCGTCGAGTTCCTTGTTCCTTTTCTCACCCTTGGCTGTATCAAGTGAGATATCAATAAATTGTGTTCGCTATACATGGCGAACATGCACAGAATACATTGCGCACGCTTTCTTTACTTTTTCCATGAGGGTCCTGAATTGCAGGTAATGCTTTTAAGCTCATTCATGTTGTTGCTAGCTGAAATAAATGATCGTCGTCCTTTGTCCCCAGTTTCTTTTTTTTCTTTCTGTTGCCAGTCAATAACTCTTCTCTCTGTTTAATAAAGAATGGGCTGTAGACTTAGAGTAATAAAAATACTATATTGTTGGGTTAAAACCTCCGGTTAAGCCTAAACAACTTGAACGATAACAACCGCGTATGCAAAGGAAGCCGCTTTAGTTCGTGGTAAATGGCAGAATTACCTCTCCAAATTGCCGTCAGTTTACACAGTTTGGCACACCCATAGACCGCGGCATCTCCTTGTTTACGGCACCTCATTAAAGCAGCATCGCATGATTGGCCAGTCAGAAGTTCCGGTCCGCTGTTATCGCACGCGTTAGGCCGCCGGTACTCTTTTCTGCCGAAAACACCAACGAAATGCGCATCGGGACGTAGATCAGCTCAATTATTAACTTCGTCACGCATCCTGAAGCAGCTACCTGAAGCGCCCAAGCAAAGCGCTCAGTTACCCCGGTGGACAACAGCGCGAGCAGTGGCTTGCTATGCAGGGAAGAAGTTGCGCGCAACGGCTGAGATGCGCTACAACCTGCCAAATTCAAGAAATGTTTTCTCTCATAAAAAGAAAATTCATTCCCCTTAAATTTTCAAAACTGAATGTAAATAAAGCATGCTATCATATGAGCTATACCATGTATTTTTCCTTGAATTCCTCAAGGCGCCATTGATCGCCGAACATGAGCTAAAAGCATGTTTTGCAGAGATTTGATATTTTTTATTAGCACACTGCAAAATGTTTTGTCATTCAAACTTTCTTTTTCTCAGTAGTACAGCTCGGCGACTGCGCATAAATAATTCTAGAATGGCCCAAATGGTGTTACTGCTTTTTTACAAACAATCGCAATTAATCCAAATTTTTGTGCCTTTTATGCAAATGAAACTGAAAACAAAACATTTAAATACATAGCCCAAGCAACTACACAATGTTGCCCAACCATTCTAGAATCAAACAAACAAGAAACGGTGAAAATATAAGAAGATCTCGATTGTTTGTGATTTTTCTTGAGCTATGTACTACTCATTTTTACACACATCTGCCAAAATAAAGTTGCACTCATGTCGTCAAAAAAATTTTTTTCACAAAAATGTTGGGAGTGTCTACATCCACGCGCGGGGATGTAGCCACGTCGGGAGGAGATAAGGCTCCATCCACGCAATACGTCACTTCCGGCGCACTACGATCAACTTCCGGTCTAGCCTCCCATTGTTTTTCCATTTGCTTGGCGGCCATTGCACCTTGCGTTCCTGCCGTGCGCGGACTACTGTCTACTGTGCCTGCCTGGTCTTCCGCAAGCGGTTATGACTTTCTCTGAAGCGTTTCTATTTTCTTTCTGTTTTCTCGGACAAGGAGTTTGGCCGTTTGAGTATTAGCACGGTCGCGCTTCTGATCTGCCTCAAGTTTTGGTTGCCGGGGGTTCGACGGTGAAATACTTGTCCTAGTATTTCCCATCGAATAATCGGGAGGCTGTCGAAGTGCGGGCGTTTAGTGGCATTAGGATCGAGGCTTTGTTTTCCTAGGTGTCTGACGCCCTGCTCGATTTTGGCACAAACAACACCAGCGTTTGTGCCAGCGCGTACGTTGACGAGTATCGTCGGCTGGCCGCTCAGATTTTGGGACGCAATCGACGATGCAGATCGCGTTTTCTTCCGTTCTTCCTAGGCGGGGGAACAGGTTCTCTTCAATGGAGTGTCAGCGTTGTCAGAGTGCCGATATCCAGGCGTTGAATGATCGGCACAGAGACGTGAACTGGCTCCTGCAGGAGTTCTGCCGCAAGCAGGGCTTCGTGTTCATCGCTGATCTCGTGGACGAGTGGCATCTGCGCATCGGCTACTGTCTTATTTGTCATGGAATAAACTGTTTCTGGAATCTTTTACCCAGTTTTCTCGATTGAATGCTCTCAGTATGTTTGTTATTAATGGGACTTGTGCATGTTTTCCCTTTTCTCACAATCTTTGTGTGATTGCAAGCGTGCGCGCAAGTCAAGAACGTACGAAGCGGTGGGCACGTACTTGTCCCCTTCGATACACATAAGCTCACATTAAAACGCTTCGAACCAAGCCAACCACACACACGACCAGCGCCTCCTCTACTGACACGACAAAGCCTCTCCGCCTCGCCTCAGCAGCGATGCACACATGGGCGAAGGCCCTGGAGGCCGGACCCGCACCGCCCGCACGCACGGATGGCACGCACGCCGCCCACACGTGTGTGTGACTCCTGGACAACATAAATATAAAGATATATATTGAACATGATTGTAAACCTGAGACTGGGGCTGAAAAGAGGACACACCAGAAGGTAGAAAAAGACGAGGCAACGTCTCAATTGGTGCTATTTTCATGATGCATCATATTTGCTATTAGTCTTAGAAAACAGTAAACCATTGATGAATTGTCTAAAAATTTGTAAGGTCACGTGACATATTAACCTTAAAACAACAATGACATATAACCTCTTTATTTTTATATCCTATATTTACTTATAAGAAGGTATATTATGTACATAAAAGCAAATTATCTCCTTATATTATAAGTCACGTGACCTTTTGCGTGGATGGAGCCTTATCTCCTCCCGACTTGGCTACGTCCCCGCGCGTGGATGTAGCCTCGGCCAAAAATGTTTGGGCAAGTGACCCTATTCAAGTTAAAAGTAAAAACTAAGAATTTTTCCGAATTAATCTGAGATTGTCGAGCGCACACCTTGTTACGTTTGAGATGGAATGACCCCATGTCTTAAAATAAATGTTGTTGAAAACAATTGTTTTTTGTCCAATGTTTTTGTTACAATTTACAAATTTTACTACTTGCAGGCGAAACCGAAACTGTACCCCTGTGGGATAATGATGATAGCATCTGTACCCAACTAGTGTGCGCTTTTAGTTCGTTGGACCTTGAAGCCCACACTAGTTGGGTCCAAACACTATCATCATCATTCCAAAAATGCACAATTTCGGTTTGACCTGCAAATCGGAAAATTCATATTGTAACATGAATATCAAGCAAACATTTTTTTTTGACAAACATTTTTTTTCAGACATGCCTGTTTTAATTAGGTAGAAAGAAAAAATGTTCCCTATGCTTGGAGTTTTTTTAGGGCAGCTGTGGCGGCTCGTGATTGCTTACGTCGGGTGGTACGATCTCCTATGTCGTAGGTCACTATGGGTCACAAATCACGTAATTGGCCTCACTATGAGTCACATGGTTGTTGCAACAATGGGTCACGTGACCATATGTAAAGACGCCATCTGACAACATAAAACAATGTCACGAGACCATGTGAAATGATGTCACATGATACTAGTACATCGTGTAACTATAGCTTACGTGATCATGCAAATTTGTAATTGTGATTATGTAACCATACAATGGCTACATAATCACATGATTCCTCCCATCGTTGGGGTGATCTATAACTATAATAACCAAATTTATTTGCTAGCGTAGCGATGGGGTATCGGACTGCTGAGCAAGATATCAGTGGTTTGATTTCCGCTCATGGACACAGTCTTTTGTAAAGACAAATGGTTGCATCGTCATAGTTTTGCTACAACCTTTTGTGACGCTCTATGCTTAGAAACCAGCCCCGAAAACACATTCTGTGTTCGATAGACTTACCCGGTTCGGCGAGGAAGGTTTCTGGACCCTCGTGGCCTGAAACCTTGATGGGGATGTCCACCGAAAACATTTCTTTGATGAGCTCCCATTCTGATGGCCACACCAGCAGGAGCCTGCGAGACAATGCAGCGCTTATTATATTGTTCGAATTCTGACACCCAACAAGACCTGTCGGCTTTGTTGGGTGGCAGTTTTTGGATGTAACAGGAAATCAAAAGTAACAAACTGGAAACAAATATGCATATCCATTGCAGGCATTCAGTGGGATCAGTGTTCATGAAGGTAACAGCTGGGAAAAAGTATAGATGAGGCTTCCTGCACGGCAGTCTCGCAACAATGAGTCACTCGTATCGCCATCTTGGTTTTCTTCACATTTGTCACTTGTTCTGCTTCTGCCCTTCTGCTCCAATCGTTGCTGGATTGCTGTTCCCCAAGCGAAAGCGAGCAGAAACAGACAAAATTTTATCGTTGACTTTAAAAAAAAAAAAAAAAAAGTGATTGTATGGGCACAGATTTATGGCCATCTCGAGGTACAACAGTCGTTCGGCATATTCGAGAAAAACCTCCGGTACTGGCGAGGTCAAAAACAAAGCCTTTCAATGTGCAGCAACGAAAAACAAGAACCTAATTTCGCGGACAGGCTACATACAGCATACGTGACCCTGAAACTAAGGTTTAAAACCTAGTTCATGAAAGACTAGTTCACACCATGCTTAGTCAAATACTCCAGAACGCACTGCCAGATGTGCATTGTGCAAACAATCACACTTGTGACTTGGGGCAATGCAAGTGGGTTGGAGTAGGGCCATCTTCCTGCTATTTGTTTTTTTCAATCTTCCGAATATTAATATTTCGCCGAGAATGGCTCGGCAAAAATTATAACGATGAGAAGATGAACAAGAGACGCACTTCGCCATTTCTGCGGAAATTTCTCCCGCACAACTGTTACAGCCCCCAAAAATAGCCACACCCCCCACTACCAAAATGGAGGTGAGTTAATTATGTCACGAATGAGTATAGGAGATGAATAGAAAACTAAAAATAAACGTTTCATGGGGCTAACTTGTGCCTATGAATTTAAAGATAAAGAAAGGTAGTGGCATTTTGTGTTGGAGATGGAAGGGTGACATCCCAAAGCAGTGCGTTACCACTACTTTTATACATGCAGTAGGCTCAGGAATTTTCTGAATGGGAACACACAATGACACTCGAGAATGGGCGGGACTTTTCCAGAAGATTGATTGATAAAAGAAAAGAACCAGGCCGAGTGGGGTTCAAACCCCTTTCCTAAGCGTGGCAGCCGCATGCGTTGCCAACTCCGCCACGCATGCGGCATTTTGAAGATACATTGCCCCCCAAGTCCCGTTATATCTAAATACCCATTCAAATATAGTTGGCAGCATTTTAGTAGGGGTGTGCGAATACCGAATGGTAGTTATGAAATCGAATATTGAATCTAATTAAGAAAAAAAAGCTGAATATCGAATCAAATATTGAATAGTGATTTTTTTTGTAGGAATTTTTCAAAGTGTGCTGTGAATGAGAATATTATAGGAGCAGAGAATGCGCCTGGTGCAGAATATGCATCTCGTATGGAACAAAAGCTCAAATGTATAAAAGTACTGGTGGAAAAGAAAAAAAAAAAGGAAGAAAAGCAGCTGCTGATGAACGTGAGGCACTAAAGACCCAATTTTATGGCGCAAACATTCTCTACCCTAAGTGTTACGAAACCCCAGAGTTCCAGTCACGCGTGCCTTTTTTCCTAGTTAAAAGCATAACCTAAAATCGCGACTTGTCCTTTTTTTTATACCTGCATATCTCAGAAAAGGGGCATTTTGCGGTGTTTAGTCTCAATTTTAAGGGCAATAAAATGGCACCTGGGAGTTAATTTTATATAAATAAACCGGTAGCTGTTAAATCTGAGTGAACAGGCTTAAACAATATGATTTGAAGTAAGAACAAACATGTGGTTAGGTGGCTCAAGTCACCGTCCGACAGCCGCTATGCATCCATTCCTCCGTCCGTCTATCCTGTTTTAGAGAGCCTAGAGTTAAAAGAGGGAGCAAGTGAAACTGAAACCACGGAGACGGCTCCTGCGCAGACTGATCGTAAGTAGGCACGTGTTGTGTGGTCGCGTGGAAAGAAGGCGAGCAAACGGAAGAGCAACGACGCCTGCCCGATCGACGCTTTCGTCTTTTTGTCACCTTCTCGCGGTTTGCATTTCAAACGCAACTATCGAACGGTTCGAAACTTTCTCAAATCTAGGTACACTATTTTTCGATTCCAAATTCGAACTTGCGGTTAAAATACAACGACGATGACAACTTGGCTGGTTTCATCAGCGTGGTTAACGTGGTTTTCTTTTTGTGATCTTGCAGTTGCCGATTTCTGTGAGTGTGGCCAAGTGTGTTCTACATCAACACTTCAATTTGAAATGAGGGGCTTTACTCGTAAAAAGAATTAGGCATGGCGTTAAATTCCAGCTTCCCAACAATTCTTTTCTGGAAATGGGATGTTTCGGTTGTGAATCCAGGGTAGGTTGTGTCACGATCGTCATTAAATCTGTGTGCTATAAAGTTTGTCGCATTCATTACTTTTCGTTTTTCTTATCTGTTCATTAGATTTTTGTGGAATGGTAGGACCAAGAGGTGTTTGTCGTTAACATCGCTGCGCTAACATCAGGAGAAAAAATAGCTCTTTTGTCAGCTCCGTGCCGACTGCGTGTCTTTGGCCGAATATATTGAATATTCGAGTGACCAAATAATAGGAATAGGAATTCGATTTACGAATCAAATTATTCAGGAACTTGCTATTTATTTTGAATTCATATATTCGAGTATTTGCACACCCCTACATTTTAGCTATGGCTCGAATATAAAACAAGAAAGAAAAACTAACTATAATTTTGTTGTGGAAAATTTAACGGAGCTAGTATCTTCATCAAGCTCGAGAAAACAGAAACAGCTTCAATACAACGATGCAAAGTCTGAGAGGTTCTGTGAGACAACAAAATCTGAAGACATCAGAACTAATCTTTTTCACATACAGAAGGGAAAGGTTAGAAAGTACAAATGTGCCTGCAAGTAAATGTGAATGTTGTGAAGATTAAAGTGGCAAAAAACAAAGGATGAGTAGATGAGAGACATACCATACTGAGCACCTCTCTAAGTGTCCATTGTTTTTTGGCACTTTAATCCTCGTTTATGGCCACTAGCCCACAAACATGCTCTCCTAAAGCGTGAATGTGCCCACCTCTCGTCATCACTGCCAGGAACGCAGAGCAGCTTTTGGTGGGGACAGAGTAGCACAGCGTTGACAATACTGTGTGGCCTGGCTTTGGTTGTGGGACACCTGCAAGTTTTCAAGAACCAGGATCCCTTACAAATCAGCCTCAGCCACAAGCCAGTGAAAGCACACATGTAGCTAAACTGAGTCCTACAAGAATATTAAAATTAAAGGGGTCTCAAATCGCACCTCCACTCGTTTCAATCTGGATGAGCATCCTACAGGCGTGTGGTCACGCATCACTGCTGTAACATGCAAAATGAAGACACTAGGCTAGCCGTGGTACTGCACTGGCTAAATTGCTCATCTTCAGCAGAGACACTAGACGCCCATTGGGGCTCACTAACATCAACCGTGTGAAACACATGCACAATGCAATCACTTTTATTTGTGGATCAGTAGTTAAAGCAACAGTGCTCTGGTGTCATTTCTCAGCTCGTGGAGTAGTTGCGGGTCTGATTCTGTAAACTACCTTTCTATTTTCGTTTAGCTGCTGCTTTTACGCAAATAACATTTTTAAATGCGAAAGCATTAGCTGTCCCATGGAGCGAGCCAACGTCATCAGTTTGAGGCACGAAAACGGCACCTTGTTTCCCTGATCCCAAAAGTTCCATTGGCTGGCGCGCGACAATGAGGCTCCCGTTGGCCGCTGTGTGCGTCAGTTTCAATGACTGCCGCCAGATGGTGCTGCGTGTCCGTGCCGCCTAAAGTTCCTGTATAGGCTCCCTACAGGAGCCAGAGTTGCGCGTCTGTTTTCCACATGCCGCCGCGCCGCTATTCGCCGAGATCCGATCACATGAGGAGCTGGATTAAGTGCCATGCAGGAAAGTAGACGTTGCCCGTGCCCCGCCGTACGTTCACCTGCTTTTGAGCGCGCTGCATGCCTCGAACGCGTGGCGCCGCTATTCGCCGATTTCAGTCATGCGAGGAGCTGAATCAACATGCCGTGCAGGAAAGACGGCGCTACGGAGATGAACGCGCCACTCTGGCTCCTGTAGGGAGCCTATACAGGAACTCTAGTGCCACCAGCGCGTCGATAAAACTAACCGCCGCAACCCCATGCCACTATGGGCCCCGTGCGTTAAAACGGACACGTTGGCGTGCGCTCAGAGGCTCCTGCTCATCTCGCCGCCGACCAACATGCCGTCGCCTCCATCATCCACATCATCAGCGGTGCTTCTGCTCATCTCACCGCTGGCGGGCTTGCCTGCCTCCCAAAGACAAGGCTGGAGCCGCCAGCGAGGGAGAGAAAGCGCATCCTCTGGCCGCTCTCAGGGGACTGTTCCGCGGGAGATGAAACTGATCGGACGTGTGGCCACGCGTTCTGCAGCCACCCCTCGGACCAGGCTCTTAGGAAAGTATGACAAGGCAAGGACTCCCTCCCCCTTGTTGTTACTAGTCTCATTCTGTCTGTATTTAACTGGAGCCAACAAACCCCTGAGTGTCCCTCTATTCTGTGTGTCCGTCCACTCCCTTCGTGAGATCCGGCTAGCGGGTGCAGCAAGCAGTCGAACCAGTCGTAGCGGTGACTCTGATCCGCTGCGGGGTGGTGGTCTTGCAGTCGGCCTGTTATTCGGACAACTCATACCTTTTTGAGACCCCCACAATATAAACCCTCGCAAGTTTCCAAGCCATACAAGCGTGTCTACGTGGCCTGTGGGTAGCGCGTCTGGCTCGCAACCGAAGGGTTGTGAGTTTAAATCTCGCTTCCGCCTGAAATTCTTTGCATTTTTTCTTTGAGGTAAATTAATTACTTTATAAAGTGAAATCATTTGAGACATGCGGCGACCTTTGCATGCCATGTTTTAATCACTTTCATTCCACGCGTGACACAACGTTTCACGTGGGCATTGTGGGTTGTTTGAAATTTCCGTGCATCATGAGGTTGTGGCATCACGACGCCGACGTCGGCTTTTCCGAGACATGAACTCCTTAAAGCTATCACTTTAATAATTAGAAGCTCACGAGGGCTGCAAAATGCTTGGAATTAAAAAAAAGCACCCTTTTTTGCTCGTAATGCACGAAGAAGTAAAAGCGATAGCCGTAGCACGTTCGCGCAATGCAGGCAAAACGGAGTCGTCATATGCCCGAGGACAGAGTTGCGAGGTGGTTAATGCACGTTGTTGTCGTGATTCGCATCGTGGATGCCACTGAGAAATGCCAAGAGCGCTTGGTGAAGGGAGCAAGGCGAGACACTGGATGCACGTGTCATGGCTCTTTGTAAGCATGAGGTCGACGGTGGTGCCAGCGCATGATGTCAGTGCGCCGACATTAGATGCCACGCAGAGGCCTGACTCTGCTGTGACGAGGCCGTGGAACCGTTCGTTCTTGCGACCGCCAAGGTCAATGTTCAAGTCGCCGGTTACGACGAGTGGGACGTTGTTGCAGCAGAGCACAGCATCAGCGAAGCGTGAAATCGATGAAACATCTGATGCAGGCAGTACCTGTTGGCTGTTTTCGCCCACGGAGGTCGTGGAAGCCAGTCGTTCCCTTTGCGCTCGCTCCTGGAACAAAGTACGGCCTTGGCGCGGCGGCGTCGTTAAGAAGAGCTTTCCAGTGTTGTTGAGTGGCGAAGGGGGGATGTAATGTTGAGGATCAGCAACGAGCGGAAAGGGGGATGCATAATCCTTGCTGATCGCACGGTGCGTCCACGGTGTACGCGGCCAATGGGAACGCCCGACCTCTTTCTCCCTGTGCCGCGAGGAGAAGACATGTTTTTCTGTCTCCGTCGCGACGACAGACAGCAATAAACGCCGCCACCAAAATTCCTGCAAAGTGTCACTCGTAAAGCTATCGCTTTCAAAAAAACACTCAAACTGTGTTTTTTATTCAGTACTCACAGGGAGAAGTTTATTTTTGCTTGACTCCACTAACAGAGACGTGCACTATTCCACTATCAAAGACAGCAGCATTAACTATACTCCGGAAATTCCATACCTTTTCTTTAGGGCAAAGAAAACGCAAAATTGAAGTCCTTGGTGCCACGAGCAGTTTCCGTGTCAGCGGCACTCAGCAACTCGGAACAAAAAGTGATGTGATCGTTCCTAGGCCTAACCACTTACACGATGTCACTGTCCAAAAGCGGACAACAGACCATAACATGTTTGTTGACATCAATACATTTGATGAACAAAACATCTCATAGGACTGGGTAGTGCCTTCAACCAAGCTTTGTTGGCGTTCCGAGCTGCGTGGTACTAGTGCTGGTTTCTGTGACTTCTGTGGGAACGACGCCGACGACGCCATAATGCACGTGCCCGCAGCCATGTAGGCTTGGCTTCGTGTGGCTTGGCCGCTTAATTAGTTCAGCCACCTGGGTGCTGCACTCCCTCTCTTGTTCCCCGCCACGTACGCGGTAGATAAAAGCGATGAAGCCTGCACGGGTATGATTTAAGCTTAGTCAGCAAAATTACGAGGCTTTTTCGTGCTCTCAAAAGTTGCCGCACTTCTCAATCATGCAAAAAATATCCTTAAAGTTGACCAATCCTAGAGATTAAGCGTTGAATTACCATGGGCTTTTTCCCATAGACTTGTGAACCCACCGAAAATCATAATAAAGTGACTTTGCATTACCGGGAGTGGGAGTTGACCAGTCTTCGGTAAGTTACTTTTAAAAAGTAATTCGTTACAGTTACAGTTACTTTCATAAAAATGTAGCGAAGTTACCGTTACAGTTACCGCATCAAAAGAGTGACTTGTTACAGTTACAGTTACTTTAAAAAAGTAACGACGTTACTTTTCAGTTACTTTTATATAACACGAAAAAATGAGGAAATACTCGAAAACGCCCCTCATCAAGTTTTATTGAATAAAAGTAAAAGAGTATGCTTTTTACTTCATATTGTATCATAGCAGCAGTTGCTTCTCAAAATTAGTGACTGAAAGTTTCCCCCGTTTGATGGCGAGCACGTCCCTGCCCTTGCTGAACGGACCCCGCGCAACCAAAGCAACTAGCAAACCCCGCGCAAACAGAAGTACAGAGTAAAGGCGTAAATCAAAATACGAAACATGCGCAGTGCGGAGCAGTGGCGCTAATCAAGATACAAAAAATTCGCAGTGCCCTTCCTGTGAATTGTTGTTTCACGGTTGATTCACCCGATTAAAAAGCCTTTGCACAGAAAAAACAAGAACCGCAGCATAGATGTGCTTCAAGATACTAAGATGTAAGTGCTCAGTCATAAAGCACACGCGCGTGAGTAAAGCTATTTAGATTTTTTTTCATCACATCAACACGTGGCTATATTTGCGTAGTGACTCGCGAGAAAGAACGTATTGACAAGTTTGTGCATGGCCAACTTGACACTCGTAATGTCAGAACAGACAATTTGGGAAGTGCAAGAATAGCTAGATTGTACTCGTTCAATCAGATGTTATTCATAAAAAGACTGGAAAGTAACGACCAAAGTAACGTCGTTACTTTCATCGTTACCTCAGAAAAAAGTAATAGAACTACAGTTACAAGTTACATTTTTAAAAAGTAACTCGTTACAATTACAAGTTACCAAAAACAAAAACCGCATCTCCACGTGGTGAATGATGTTGATTGGGGCGAAGCTCTGGTGTTGCTTGTCTGCGTAGACAGTGAGCCACAGCATGCCGAGCCTTTCGTTCGTTTTCATCCATGTCACGTTGCGGTCAAATGCTCAAATGCGTTTATAACCACGTTCCATAGCACACATTCTCTTTCTGACATGAATGAAAACTAACGAAAGGCTCGGCATGCTGCGGCTCACCGTCTACACAGACATGCACCACCACAGCTTCGCCCCAATCAACATCATTCACCACGTGGAGATGCGGTTGTTTTTTTTTGCCCCACACGAGCACGGGAGCATGTGCTCATGTGCTGGTGAGCACGTGAGCTCACGAGCAGGAGCACGTGCACCCGACGGCGGACGAACATACGGACATGGCTAGCCCCTAAGGAGCTTCGCCCCTAAAAAGTAACGAAGTTACAGTAACACGTTACTAGTAACGCGTAACTACCCAAGACTGGAGTTGACTGCAATAACATAATGATGCAGTATTTTGCTTAAATGCTTCTAAAGAAGATGTATTTTTCAACTCTCTGCCTTGGGCATGTACATTTTCTTTTCAAGACATTTCAGGACCTGCAAGCCAGACGGCATGCAACATCCGTCAAAACCTCAGAAAATGCGGTAACATATATACTTAGACAAACAAATGGACACGCTCGAGACGGAGTCAAGCAGGACATCAAAATCGACTGGCTTAGACGTTCTGACAGATGCAATGAAGCAGCACTTTCTGCTGGAATTATAGCAGATATTTCGCTGCCAAATTTAGTGGGGAAACCATGACGCCACTTGACACCATGACGCTACGTTACATGATGCCATGACGTCACGTGACACTCTGACGTCATGCAGTGAGACCAACACGAACAAGAGAGGTCTGCGAGGGGTAAAGCCATCATTTTCAAAGAGCCCGGACAGAAGAGGACTGAAGGCCGAACTGACCGTATGAACCTCTTCCACAGGTTGAGAAACTCCCTGGAGAGGAGGTAGATAGTCTCGCCCGGCGCCAGGTTGGAGGGAGAGGGACGGTTGCGCTCCTGCAGCAGCTCCGACAGACGCTGCTTCTCCACGCCGGCTTGCTGCTTCAGCTGGCCTTGAGCTTCAAGGTCACGCTCCAAGTGGGCCTGGATCACATTGCCCAACATCACGGGGGTCCAAGGAACTAGGGAAGCTATACACCAACTCACGTTTGCAAACAAACCGGCACGCCCCTAGTAGCGCCGCGCACGGGCGATGGGGTGTGGGCAAGAAGTGTGCCAACCCAAAGGGTAGTTTGCTTGTCCTACCCTGTATGTGCAGCTTTTGATGCTTTGCTTTGTACGGACTCGAGCCTATTTTGGAGGTCGGCCTGGTGGGGGCTCCAGATGGTGGCACAGTATTCGAAGACTGGCATTGCAACCAGTTACAATGGTCAAATCACCTTGTATCCACTGTTTACAACAAACCAACTTACCCAAACACACTTTAAGTCTACAAATCTACCTTACATTACTTTGCATCTCCGTTACCGTGCCGTTGAAACATATAAAATTGACATGGTCTAAGGAACGTTGTCATTTGAACGTGACGACAGTCGTTTAGGTGTGCGACAGTCATTTTAACGTGATGACAAGCTGAACACGATTCGGGCATCCCGGCCCACTTGACAGCTCTCCCATGTTCGTGTTGGAACAATACAAGTAAATATTACGACAACAAGCCTCCCTCCGTGAATTCACCCCAAAGTGTTTCCTGCACATGCAACCGTGGTTAGACGGCGTCTAATTTTCTCCTTTTCATGGCATCCATTCAACTTCTTGGACAGATCGAACAGGCAAAAAAACACGTAAAAACTAATTTTGACACTTTCCCAAGCCGTCCTTTTGCTGTGCCTTCAGTCTACACAACTTGCAGAATCCTGAGAAAAAGGCTGGTTTTCACCAAAACAATGTATGAATGCCCAGCCGGCATGGTGTTTCTTGCCCACATCGTGGACCGGAAATGCACCCGAAACGCCATCGCCGCAGCTTGACGTAGGAGATTTGATTGGTGAATACAGTTTCATAGTAGCTGCAAGCAAAGGTGGAAGCCACAAGTATCAGGTTGTTGTTTGTTTTGAACAGCACTTGCGCTGCACAAACGTGAATGCAAGGCAGCTACGACCAAATCCCAAGGCTCACGCACCTATCTTTAGCTTCGTTCGGTGTTATGGAGTACTATAATTTTTGCAACTAGCGAATTTTGGGAGCTCGCTATAGATCAATCTCAAGTGATCTATAGCTCTACTCTACATTGCTCTATATTCATTAAAGATCTGCAGGACTCATTACCTAAGTACCGTAATTAGACAATTTCCTAGTTCCCAGATGGTTCGTTTAGGTGACTTTAATTATCCTTCTATTGTGCAAACAAGGAATAACCCGTGTATGACCCTGTCTTCATCCAAATGTCATGACCCTGTCATCAGCAAATGTTTTGGATCTTGTTATGTCAAACCATCAAGATCTTGATTCACCTATTTTACATCTACCAGGACTTAGTGATCATTGTTTATTGCATTTTAATGTTAAAGGGCCCATGAAATGATTTTTGGGTTGGGATAAATCATTTTAGATTGGGATTTTACTAATAGCACATCGTTCAGTGGACCAAAAGAAAAAAGGTAGAAAGTCAAAAGCCTGACTTTCAGTGCGAAAATTTGAAAACAGAGCGGACTATTTCATACCTTCTCCCCTTCGCAACCTCTCTGCCTTTTCACTGTGATACATCCGCGGTCCCAGAAGCGCGTCATTGGGTCCAAACTGACTTCACACGCAACCGGATCTCACTTATTCCCTTCACCCCTAAGCTGATATTGTGGTGGAAGCTACGCGCTTGCAGGACCAATCAGCCGCCTCCCTTTCATCACCTGAATTCATTCTCTGCAGCCACATTTGCCACGCTCACGTGGCAAGTGTGGCTGGCCCAACGAGCACGTAGCTTCAACAGCACTGTCAGCTTCGGAATGAACGGGGTGGGGAAAGCAACTTTTGTCTGAATTTTGAGCGACGGGCTAATCTTCTAGGGGGGGAATGGATGTGTCCGGGATTACACAGATGAGAGTGCGAGCAAGAGGGGACTCCCCCTTTTCGTCTTCTTGAACTGTTTGGTGGAATGCGCGATTTATGAGTTGAGGAGGAAAGCTAAACAGGAAAAAGTTGGAAAAGCGTTTCATGACCCCTTTAAGGCTGTAGTGCCGAAACCATCCATTCACACAATACAAATGTGAGATTTGTTTTCTGCAAGTGGCTTTGAGATTTGTTTTGTGTGACTGACTTTGAGAAAATCGACAATGAAATACATAGCAACATTCCTGGATGATCTTATGGTGAAGTTCCCACCCAATCAGTTGAAGAAAATTGGCAGTTGTTTCAAAACGAAGTCCAATGACTAAGCAATTTGCACATCCCCCTAAGGACAGTTTTTTTAGAATACCCACTCACCGTGATATAATAGAGCCCTCAAACGTCTCTCAAATAAAAAGAAATGATTATTTTGTGCTGCTAAGTTCACAACATGTGAACAACATTGGACAAAATATTGCACTGCAGCTGAAGCATACAAAAACGAAATTGACAGTGCAAAGTTAAAATTGCTTAACCGTAACATACCGGAAACATTAACTAACAATCCCAAACATTTTCGGAATATTATGTCTAAAAAATCTAATTCTTCAGTCGTGCTAAAAACTGCGAGCGGCACTAGTATGCTGCTGGCAGTGAGTGCTAATATTTTGAATACAGTTTTTGATGAACCATTCTCACGTGATGATAGTTAAGAATGCCCAGTACTGCGTAGTTCTGAGTTTTAACCCATGGTCTCCATTCTGCTTGATTGTACTGGGGTTGAACATGTCATAAAGGGGTTAAAGTTGCAATCTTCTGCAGGAGTGGATTGTATAAATTCCAAGTTTATAAAAAATACCAATGTAGTAGTATATTTATTAGGGGTGTGCGAATACCGAATAGTGGTTATCGAACCGAATACCGAATCAAATTAAGAAAAAAAAAAGCCGAATATCAAATCGAATATTGAATATTGATTTAATTTGTAGGAATTTTTCAAAGTGTGCTGTGAATAAGATTATTATATGTGCAGAGTATGCGCCTGGTGAAGAATAAGCATCTCGTACGAAATAAAAGCTCAAATGTATAAAAGTTATGGAGCAGAAAAAAAAAAAAGCAGCTGCTGATGGACGTTGGGCACTAAAGATCCAATTTTATGGCGCAAACATTATCTATCTATCCTCAGTAGGGGTGTCGCGAACCGGTCGAGGTTCGAGTTCGACCAGCTTCGAGTTTTTTTAACTTCTTTTGAAAAGTTCAAAAGAGGTTCGACTCAGGTTCGACTGCTATGCGCATGCGCGACAGGCAGGCCACTTGGCTTCGGATTGGATGGTAATGGCTAAGGGATAAATTAAGGGCAGCACTGAATAGTTTTTTCAGTTAATACAGTACAAAAAAATTAAGTTATTAACTTCTTCAGTGATTAGAATTAGTTTCTGTTAATTGCAACTGTTCATAAAATTAAAATGACCGTTTGTATAAAAAAAAATGACCGCATCTCCACGTGGTGAATGATGTTAATTAAGGCGAAGCTCTGGTGCCGATTTTTTTTTGTTAGAAATGTCAGGAAGAGAATGTGTGGTATGGAACGTGGTTATATATGCATTTGAGCATTTGACCGCAGCGCCCTCTCGTCTATAAACGTTAAGCCAATGCATGCAAAGTTTAACGGGATTATATACGCATTTGACCACAGTGCCCTCACCTGTATAGACGTTGAGCGGCTACATGCAACGTTTCATCCATGACATCCCCAGCTCTTGATTTACTACCACATCTCAGAGCCCCATACTCGTCCCGCAGTCGTGGCCAAGTGGTTAAGGCGATGAACTAGAAATCCATTGGGGTCTCCCTGCACAGATTCGAATCCTGTCGACTGTGCAAAAATTTTTTTCTTTTTTTAAGAAGACAGATGGGATGGCAATCGATGTCAGCACAGATGCCGGACAAGGCTAGACCCTAAAGAGCTTCGCCCCTAAAAAAAAATTCTCCAAACCTAGATATGCTTTTATTACGGTCTAGCCACACTGTCCACAAAGTCGAACCGGTCAAATCTGGTTAAAAGTTTGAGGGTTCGTCGAACCGTTTCGAACGAGTCGAACCCCGAAAGTTCGACCTAAAAATTCGGTTCAACAAAAGTTCGCGACACACCTAATCCTAAGCGGCACAAAAAACTTAAAGTTACAGCCACGCGTGCCTTTTTGTTTTCTAGTTAAAAGCATGACCTAACATTGCAACATGTCCTTTTTTTTTTATATTTATATATCTCAGAAAAGGGGCATTTTGCGATATTTGGTCTCAATTTCAAGGGACAAAAAGGGCGCCCAAAATTTTATTTTATATAAATGAACAGATAGCTGTTAAATCTGAGTAAACAGGCTTAAACAATATAACCTAAAGTAAAAAAACAAAAACAAAATAACATGTGGTTAGGTGGCGCAAATTACCGTCCAACTGCCGCTATGCAGCCATTTTTCTGTCAATCTATCCTGTTTTAGAGAGCTTAAAGGGACAATAAAGACGATTTTATTTAATTTTATTAAATGGTGTTTTTAGGCTTCGTGGGAACTTAGCATGCTGCCTAATTTTTTTTATACATTTGTGACGCATATTTCTGTGCCTACAAAGGAACTGAAGAAACCAAAACTGAACTATCTCTATTCTCATTTATGGGCCTCCAAAAATGGAGGTGACGTAGGGAGTGACGTCAAGTGTGAATAGTCGGTATCGGTAGTATTTAGGAGATCGATACTCTGGTTACCGCGGTGGGTTAATGCAGCGCGGTGGCACGGTCGTTTCATCTAATCTGTCAACATGGACGACAATGCCACTCTGGCGAGCGGGTACGAGCTTCTGTTCACGGACCTAACACCAATGGAACGAGAGTAGTATGTGTGTGGCGGCCTTTGCCATCACCCAACAAAGACCACCCAGCCGGCATTGAGCGGCCCGCAGGTTCCGAGCAGGGAAGCATTCGCGTGGGCGAGATGAGAGCGGCGCGTTGCCGAAGGACAGGCACGCGGGGTGATGCCGAGGGGAAAGCGGCAGCGACCCGGCCGTTCCGGGAACCGGTTCCTCCGTGGGGCTCACTCCTCAAGAAGGAGAAAATAAACAGCACCATTTCTGGTTTTCACCAAAGTAGGACGTCCTCTCTTTTCGTCGTCGAAAAACAGAAACAGCAACCCACACGTGAAAGCTAGCGTCGCCCGAACGAATACTGGTCTTCAATCGACCGTTAGAACAGCCATCTACAGAGCACAAATTTGGCATGACTACCATTTTGCAGAATCCTTCGAGTACCGTGTTCCCAAAGTGAACACGACACCGACATCTGAAACCAAAACCAAACGTCTCCTGCGTGTTCTTTTTTTATTCTATTTTGTTTGCCCATAGCTGCTTGTTGCCCGTTTCGCATCCAGCGTGGCAAAGAGAAAAACAATTATGCTGTTTTATTTACAATTTAGTAAGCATTTCCGGTCCGATCTATAGTTTTCATGGTTATTCAAGCGGAAATTAGAACAGTATTCCTAAAAATTGCGAACCAAAAGGTGACCGAGGGCACGTCTCTCGTTTCAACCAATTGCTGACGCGTCTCTTGTAGCGTCGCGCCTCTTGGCCCCACAACGGTCACATGAACTCCGCTTCTTCTGGCTTCTCCCGCAACTCTCGGGGCGTCGCCCCAGTCGATCCTGGTACGATTATTACCACAACTGTTCAATTGATTTGCGCGGCACACAAGCGCTGGTTTCGGCTGAAATTTGGGAAACATGGCCTGAACCTGAGATGTGCCTGGAACCAAGTTCAATTGCCAAAAAAATATCCAAAATTGCCTTCATTGTCCCTTTCAAAGAGGGAGCAAGCGAAACTGAAACCACGGAGACGGCTCCTGCACAGATTGGTTGTAAGTGCGCATGTGTTGTGTAGTCGCGTGGAGCAAATGGAAGAGCGACAATGCCTGCCCAAACGACGCTTTCGTCTTCGTCATCTTCTCGCAGCTCGTAATTCAAACGCGGCTATCGTACGGTTGGAAACCCTCTCAAACCTAGGCACACTATTTTTCCGTTCCGTTCCGTTCCGAATCAGAATTTGCAGCTTGCGGTTCCGAAAGAACGGTGATGACAACTCAGCTGGTTTTATCGGCGTGGTTAACGTTGTTTTCGTTTTGTGATCTTGCAATCATCGATTTCTGTGAGAGTGGCAAGCGTGTTCTACATCGGCGCTTCATTTTGAAACGAGGGGCTTTACTCGTGAAAAGAATTAGGCATGGAGCGGAACTCCGGCCTGCCAATTCCTCTCTGGAAGGGGCGCAAAGGGGATGTTTTGGTTGTGATTCGAGGTTAGATTGCGTCACAATCGTGAGGAAATCTGCATGCTATAAAGTTTGTGGCATTCCTTCTCTTTTTTCTAACCTGTGGGTTAGATTTTTGTGGAATGGTAGGACCAAGAGGTGTTTCTCGCATGGTCTGTGGAACATCACGGCGCTGAAAAAATGGCTTTTTTGTCAGCTCCGCGCCAACTGCGTGTCTTTGGCCAAATATATAGAATATTCGAGTGACCGAATACTAGGAATTCGATTCGCGAATCAAATCATTCGGGAACTTGTGATTCAATTCGAATTCGTATATTCGAGTATTTGCACACCCCTACTTATTTCACATATTTTGTCTTCATAATTCTACACTACAAGACAAATTAATTGTATGCCCATTTTACGTTTCCCCTCGTCTTGATCATCAACACAAGGTTGGCATCTCAAGCGCTAACACAACCACATTTCAGTCATCCTTTCTTCCTCGTACATCCCAAAAATGGAACCACCTTCCCGGTTCAATTATTGTTGTCACAGACTTGGAGTATTTCAAATCTGCATTAACTAACCATGTTCTTGATGAGTATGCCTATACTGTATTTTCCTTTTAACCTAATAGGTTCCTCTTTTTTAACTGTATCACTATACTGTTGCTCTTCCCCTCTGTAATGCCTTCGGGCCCCGAGAACAATAAATAAATAAATAAATATACATGCTCAGGATGAAGGTGAAGGGTCTCTGGAAATTAAGCTAGACACGTGCTTACCAAAGCCACACTGTTAGCACAAGGGGTAGGGTATTGAATCACTAAGCGAGAGATCAGTTGTTGGAATCCTGCCACGGGACACAGTCTTGTAGAGACAACTGAGTGTATTATCATATTTTTGGTATATTTCACGATGCTGTGAGCCGAGACTGCGGTACTAAAAACACGCCCCGAGTCATAAAAAATTCCTTAACAAGTTTCACGCAAGACAAAACATACAAGAAGCGGTTAAGGACCACCTGTGGCTCACCCGACAGAGCTCGCACACTTGCGAGGATTCCGGGAACTCGGCCGCAGTGGGAAAATGAGTCTTCAGCACCTCCCAGACGTTGAGACCAATTAAGCGACGGGCGGCGTCGTTGGGCAGCAGGCCACCTGCGACGTGGGGCAGCAGATATAGCGCAGATGAACTCGCTGCAAACAGAATGCCCTACAATGCGGAGAGCAAGTCGCCTGCTTCTTGCGCAGGGGTTGCGGTGACGTCAGAACGACGCAAAGCTCTGGTTGGCTTTGATTGGAAGGGTAGTGGGTAGACCTCGATGCTAGATGCCTCGAGGTTTACCCACTATATTTTTTCAATCGGCCAATAAGAGCTCGGCATTCTGTCATTATCGCAACCCCTGTGCAAAAACCAAGCAAACTTTTGCTCGGCATAGGTTACAAAAACTAGAGCTGGGCTGCCTTGCTCAAGACACACGAGTCTTATCTGCTCCCAAGGCCTCCCCTGAAAGCCTGATATTTAGCTCAGTAACTGAACCCGAGATCACTTGAAGGATGTACCATATTCTCCAATGAATAACTTGCGTTTTTCCTCAAAATTTTTATCAAAGCGTCTTATATGCATTTTCTTTTTTCTCTAAGTAGGTGCCTCAGCAGCACAAACTGACCAGGTGGGCTCTATTTCTTGTTTGATTCATTGGCGAGATTATTAAAACTGGCTCCCGCTTCTGCCCGTGTCGTGATCACTGACACACGTATGCGAGCTTATCAACGCCGTTTCGCCCCACTGACCGTACAAATATAGAAGTGCGACTTGTCTACCAACATTTTTGTGAAAATGGGTGTTTGTAGGGGCGTCTGACTCTTACAACGGTGCAATGGATAAACGGGAAAATAAGGTACATACAGTCAGTCCACTTATAACGATAGTGAGAAAATCCTAAAATGCAATTGTCATAATTGATCATCGTTGTATCAGGACTGGATACCCAAAGCAAAAACTAACGGTCCTTTAGAAACTTGTTATAAGCAGTACATCGTTCTACGTGGTATCGTTATTGGTGGACTGCGTTGTAGACGCCTACCGTGCTGGCACTTGATGTCCTCGTTGAAGAACAGAGTGGAGTTCTCTTCCTGGTCAGAGGAACCACCGTCCGATTCTGTAGCCTGGTGCTCTGCAAAGAGTCAGGTTGTGGCCAAAAATAACTGTGGTTATGCCCGTGTGGTGTCACACCGGCCGGTGTAGATGGTACATCTGTCTACACGGTGCAACATGAGTCTGCGATCGCTGTGACAAACATGTGCAACTTTGGGCGTTGACATGTACTATTAGTGTTGTGAAACTTGAACTCTATGTATGGTACCAATTCAAATGCTTCATGAAGAATGCAGAACACCCAACATTGCCACCTTGAGATCGCATGCTTTTGGCAAAGTGTCGTCCCAGCCGCTACCTTTTCAGATGCCAGACGTGGGGGAGATCGGCGGCCTAGCGTGTTAACTAGGGGTGTGCAAATACTCGAATATATGAATTCAAATCGAATAGAAAGTTCCTGAATAATTCGATTCGCAAATCAAATTCCTAGTATTCGGTCACTCGAATATTCAATATATTCAGCCAAAGACGCGCGGTCGGCGGGGAGCTGACAAAAAAGCCGTTTTTTCTCTCGATGTAAGCGCCATGATGTTAGACAGACCATGCGAAAAACAGCTCTTGGTCCTATCATTCCACAAAAATCTAACGCACAAATAAAAAAAAAACTAACGAACGCCACAAACTTTATAGCACGCAGATTTACTCACGATCGTGACACAATCTACCCCTGAATCACAACCGAAACATCCCGTTTGTGCCGCTTCCAGATAGGAATTGTTGGGAGGCCGGAATTCCGCGCAATGCCTAATTCTTTTCACGAGTAAAGCCCCTCGTTTCAAATTGAAACACCATTGTAAAACACACTTGCCGCACTCACAGAAATCGGCGACTGCACGATCACAGAAAGATAAACACGTTAACCACGCCGATGAAACCAGCTGAGTTATCGTCGCCGTTCTTTTGGAACCGCAAGCCGCAAATTCTGATTTGGAACGAAATGGAACGGAAAAATAGTGCGCCTAGATTTGAGAGGGTTTCCAACCGTTCGATAGCCGCATTTGAATAACGAACTGCGAGAAGGTGAAGAAAAGACGAAAGCGTCGATCGGGATCGGGCAGACAGGGCAGGGACGGCAGGCGTCGTCGCCCTTCTGTTTGCTCGCCTTTTTCCACGTGACAACACAATACATGCGCATGCGACCAATCTGCGCTGAAGCCGTCTCCGTGGTTTCAGTTCCGCTTGCTCCCTCTTTTAAATCAAGCCTCTCTAAAACAGGATAGATAGACGGAAAAATGAATGCATAGCGGCAGTTGGACGGTGTCTTGCGCCACCTAACCACGTTTTTTTTTTCTTACTTCAGATTATATTGTTTAAGCCTGTTTACTCAGATTTAACACCTATCTGTTTATTTATGTGAAATAAAATCCCAGGTGCCCTTTTTCTTCCTTAAAATGGAAACGAAATATCGCAAAATGCCCCTTTTCTGAGATATACAAAACGTTTTTTTTTGTGACGTTTAGGGTAGATAAATTATATTTGTGCCATAAAATTGGATCTTTAGTGCCGAACATCCAACAACAACTGCTTTTTTTTTTTTTTTTCTCCAGAATGTTTTTACATTTTAGCTTTTGTTCCATATAAGATGCATATTCTGCTCCAGGCACATACTCTGCACATATAATAATCTCATTCGCAGCACACTTAGAAAAATTCCTACAAATAAAATCACTATTCGATATTCGATTCGATATTCGGCTTTTTTTTTCTTGATTCGATTCAGTATTCGATTCGAAAACTACTACTATTCGGTATTCGCACACCCCTAGTGTTAATGCATCGCAGCTCGAACTGCAGAACCCAGGGATCTTGTGCTCAATCCTCACCCCTGCCCATTTCAATCTGGATGAACATCGTACTAGCGTGCAATTGTGTATCACTACTGAGGGATGTATATTAAAGACCCCAGGCTAGTAGTCGTACTGCACTGGCTAAATTTATCGTCCACGGCATAAACCAGTGTCGCCGCACCTCGAAGCAGACTGACCTTATGCTGTCTAAACACGAGTGATGGCGTTCCGCCACATTATCGCTCTCTCCCTCATCGTCACCTGTCGCACAAACACGTGATCTCTGGCAAAAACACTCTCCCCCTTGACACGGCAGGGTTCTTGAACGTTCTATGCGTCCCTAGAAAAAGGCAAAGAGAATGTGTCGTTGGCGGGAAGCAGACGACGACCTGCACAACATGGTTCCCTTCATTGCAGCCACTCAGAGTGCTCGCGCGACGTACGCGACCGGTTGTGGTTTCTGGGAGTCCCGATGCCCACGCAATACAAGCGTGCATTTGTCCAAGAGCTCCCAAGCCAAGACGTGTGTTGTTTAAAATTCTGTGTGGCACGCCATTCTACCTTGCAAAAGGGAAAAGTGCCTAGCCCGTCTACTAAGAGCAAATCTCCTAAAGCACATCTTTCAATGACGCAACAACTACCGCCATCAATTGCACCTCACCGTCTGTGGTCGCTCGAATTTTCTTGCTTGACATATCTCAAAACTCCTGTAGCAACCCTTGTATGTTGAAAACATTTTTGTGCCGACACAGTTCCAAAAATTTGGCTTACCAGCAGACGTGCTCTGGCCCACGCCGTTGCAGTCGCCAGAGGGTGATGAACTAGGCTGCTCTCCGAAGGGCCGTAGCGCGAGATGCTTCCATTTCTGCAGCGACCTCTTGCCTACCCACACCTTTGGCTCGTCACTGCACGCAAAGCAAAACAGAAAATCCAGTTGCCGTCGTGGCCCAACTGAGGATGAAACCCTGCGTGAAGTAGGTAACCATGGTTCTTGAACAATTTTGGGAAAAATCTGCATTTTGGAGCAGCCTGGGAACAACTTAAGCTGACGTTCAAAGCCTAGCTGTTGGGAACCACTTGAGGTAAAGTGAGGGACACAGTTGGCACGAACAAACAATCGCCTTTTTCTTTTTTTTTTCGTTTCTCCCAGGGTTAAAAGGCTCAAAACTACTATACTAGTACTATAGAGGAAACGCTCAAATGGGCACTAACCTAAGCAATAAACTTGAGAGCCCATCAATACTCTATGCAAGTAAAATTTAGGAAAGCATCGATATCATGTTTGTGCCAACTCTGTCATGCAGCGTACATGCAAGTGCTTACACACAAGCCAAAATATAGTGCAACATCACACTCTGTTTTTGGCCTCCCTCAACCGATAAAAAAAGCCCCATGGGATAAGGCAGCAAGCCGAGCTGAATGGTTCTAAACTATACTTTCATCTGGATCATTCTGACGTCTGCTGCTTCTTACTCTGTGGATGCAGTAAGGTACATATAACAAATAAGTACTGCAGTAAGAAAAATGAAGGGGCTCAATTGCAAGTCGCACCTTATGGCTGGCGCCGCTAAAACTTTGTCATTCAGCAGCTTCACCAGTATTCTATTCAATCAGTACGAATCACTCTGCATATTCTTCATTATTCCTTCTTTAGATGCTAGAGACCATGTAAGACGATAAAACTGCCTTGTGATATTACCACAGGGCGATATATCGGTCAATTTTTCACAATACTTTTCATGTTACGAAATTTGTGAAAATTGGCTCCTCAGAAAAATGAAGTAGTACCTGGTTTACAGTATGAAAAATGGCTTCAGATAAACTGGACTTCACAACAGGTACAGCCAGCGATACCAGAACTCAGTTGGGAAACTGCCATAGAGCCTGCTTTCAAAAAGTGGCTCAGATCCGTACTTGAGTACCAAACTAAAGGCGATCTCAACGCTGCCATTTCCCTTACAGCGGCCACTCCGGGAACTGTATGGCTGAACGTATTGGTTAAGGTCGAGTCGCGCAAGGGTGGTTGTGCCATCTTGCAGTGCCATTTTGCAGTAGCTATATAAACCAACTGTATCTTTTTAACTCGTCGCTAAAAGAGGGTGCTGTTATCATGTTTAGTTTGGTCTCTTTTAGTAACGTTGGGTAGATTGGAACCCCAATTATTTGACTTTCACGGGATTGCGTGAAAAGTTTTTTATAATCACTAAGGCGTATAATAAAAAAAAATTATTACGACTTTGGGGCGCGGCTTTGCACGACCAAAATATGCAGAACTTTTATGATTACTTCTAAGCTAATAACCTGCTGCACAAAAGAGAGGATTAGGCTTTTGAATGAATAAAACCGAAATCAAAGCATGCTGCGGTAAATGCGCTGATAATATTTTACTGTTACCTTACCTAATTTTTTTTTTAAAAAGTAATCAGTAATTTTTTTGGGGGGGCCGGAATTTCTAGAACGGAAGCAAGCAAGCCACGCCATTGTGGCCGTTTCCAAACCGTTGAATGCTGTCAAAACATGACATTTCCGCATATGTTGGCACACGCAGCTTGGCGTCTGGGGCATTGCTGCCTTCTTCCGAAATATCGGTGCCAGGTGGTTCCCTTTTTAACGACTTTGACGAGTTGTGGCCCAGATCGGGATGTTGTCGTCAGCGTTTGACGTGGTCCACAAGTCACGACGAGTACACGTGGGCATGGCACGCTGTCATTTGAGAGCATGTAAGCTTCTGCCGAGCATGCAACAATCATAAGTAGAAACCAGTGTTGGATAAAGTAGATACATCTAAAAAGTACTTGAAGTAAAATACAAAGTAAATGAGCTTAATTATGTACTTCAAGTAAAGTAGTGGGCACCCTGGACGCAATGTAATTGAAGTAAAGTACTATGAATACAATGTACTTCCAAAGTGAAGTACAGGTACTTTTTAGCACAATCTTTCATAATGTCTTTTCATTCCCCTATATGGAGTTTTTTTTTTAAACATGTATGCATTGCTGTAGGGATAATTGGGAGTGCATCAGTTATATTCAGAAACGGCTGCGAATATTGGATAAAAGTAAGTGGCCACAGGGTAGCTGCGTTACTCTCGCACTCACTTCTTGAGATAGCATCATTTTGTGATACAAAATGACCAAGATCAAATTTGGGGAAGGTATTATTTTGAAGTTGGGAGTTGTACATTTCTTGGAAAGTACAAAAAATACTTTAAGTAAAATACAAGTACCTATGTACATTCTTGAAGAATGTACTTCAAGTAAAGTACAAGGTTCCTAAGCCTACCTACATGAAATAGTACTTTAAGAATAATATACTTAAAGTGATTCTAAACACTGTAGAGAATACGCCGAGACCAGATGCCTCATTCGCTTTCGAAAGCACAGCACGGGCCAACGAGTGTGACCACACAGATCGACGGATTGTAGCACTACAGCGTGACGTCAAGGAAAGAAATGAAAAAAAAAAAAAACAGAAAGCAGAGCGCAAGAGCAAAGTGGAATATGTCGCCGGCAATCGAAGGAAGCTGTGGCTGGAAGGAGGTGAAGGGCGAAAACAACAAACCAAAAGCAACACCACCAGCAAAGAAGACTGAACAAAGAACAGATTCTTCTTCAGAAGAAAGGAGGACGGCACAAGGATATGTTTGCCAGTGCAGCACGCAGTTTCGTTTTGATGTCGCATCCGTCTTTCCCAGCGATACGACGTACTAGATTCGTCGTACGATGTGGGATGCTTGTATTCACGAGTCGTGAGAGCCAAACTTCTAATATGGTGGTTCTCGAATGGAGGGTCCACAGATCCCTTAGGGTTCCTGAAGGTCTTCTTAGGATCTCTGAAGCCTTTCACCGTCAGTCAAGACGAGCGACGTTCTTTGGCTAGGTGTTCGGCATTTCGTGATGCCCAGATTAAAGCGAAGCCTGGATAAGAGCATGGCCGCGAGGCTCGACACCAATTGGTTGACAGGTGTGAAAGAAGGAATGAGGTGCTCGACGCTGACTGGTTAACGGGGAGGTTATGTGACTAGAGGGGTACAGTGATGTGATTGGCCTAAGCCGTTTTGGAGCACCTTTCGGAGCAGCAAAAACAGTGTTTTGGAGCAGCAAAAGTGGCCTTTGGAGCAGCCAAAACAGTGTTTCGGAGCAACAAAAGTGGCTTTTGGAGCAGATATTCTTAGAAAAATAAAAATATTTGTTTTAAGTGGTGGACAAACGAAGGGCACTTTGCTCGTCGCACTGAACAAATTATGGTCAAGCTAGACCGCCAGGGAGTCTTTCAATATGTAACTGAAATGCCAATGACATGACATGACACATTTTGCAATGCTTCAGTTAAATGATACGCATATATGTACACCCGCCGGCAATATGAAGGTGAACACCTTACCTGGTTTCTTGCCTGTTTTACGGCTCCCTAAAGCTATAATAACTCTCAACATCTCAAATGGTACGTGGCTTGGGGTCTAAACTTTGCGTTCTAGCCCTCTTCTGGAACAGAGATTGTTCCAAAACTTGCAGGAACGTCAAAAACAAGAAGAGGGCTGTTCACCTTCATATCGCTCACGGGTGTAACCGCTTTAGATCAATGAGAACCAAACTGCACATATTAAAATTTATTTGAAAATGACCAGCTTAGTAGTAAATATCACAGCAGTAGGTTGACTAGTTATATAATATAATGGAAGCAGTCTCCGACTGATGAAACGCGTAACTACTGCAGAGCAATGCGAAATTGTACACAAGACAAAGGTGCATTACGAGTCTTAGCGGGTGCTTTTCTTTTCGCTTTTCGAAACTTTCGGCAAGGCTGCTCCAAGCCTCGCTTTGCCTTCGGAATGAATGTCAACTTTAAATGTCTCAAGAGAAACATTGAGACATCCCAGAAGTGTACAGTGCTGTAGGCGTTTCCGAGCAATTCCGAAAAACCGCTTGCCACCGTTTTACTGGTTCCCGACGTGCCAGATTTTCGTCAAGAGTAAGCAAACGTAAAACAATGGATTGCAAGCGTTTCGGCTGGTGCCTCTGTCGAGTAATCACGTTCGCATGCACATGAGGGCAACTTCGGCAGGCTTGCAGTTGCACATGCTTCGTCGCGCGAGCGGAGATGGCTGTTCAACCGAAACCAATAACATGTCACTCCGCTCCATTGCCAACTGGTTCCCAAAACTGTAAACAAAATGTAACTTTCCAGCATACGACAAAAAAGTCCAGCGGCACATGATTGCAAGGCGGGCAAACAGGGTACATGTTAAAAACACACAAAAAACAGAACCTGAGTGCATCAATGCAAGACATTGCGAGCCAGGGTCAAAAAGGTCTTGGAGCGCTTTGTGCAACGACTGAACTCGAGACAAACAAGCGCGTATTGCGGGTTCAGCGTGCATACATTGCCTTCTTTGTTTTAGATCACTTGTCTTCGCCAACTCTCTTTCGCAGGAGATTTTTCGCGTACGGGGTCCTTCTCGAAAGAAAGTCTACCGAGAGAAACCTAGGTAATCAATACTTTGACACAGCAAACGCAGGTAAAGAGGGATTCTTGTAGAACCGTATGATTTAAACAAGAACAGGAATGTTGATGAACATGCGGCAGTCAAAACATTTCAGTTTAGAAAGCGCCAGATCTGCGGCGACGTGGGAACGGCAACACCCGACGTTGCGCGACCACGGTGACTGGCAGGCAGAGACCAAATATAGTTTTCCCACGGCCGTTGTTTTCAGGAAGGAGAGCTTCAGCTCACAAAATAACTCCCGCCGCTCAAAACCGTGGTTTCGTTTCACAGTATGACGGCATGGCTGGCCTGGTACCCGGTACGCTACTATCGGAGCATCCACACATGCTCGCGTCTATTTTGAAAAAAATTTAAAAAGACGCGAGACGAGACTTACGAGACGACGAGCGCGAGAAACGAGAGACGGCGAGAAAAACCATGCTAGACTGAATGGACCATTGATGCAGGGTACTTTGTGTCGGGCGGCCGCTTGCGCCACCTAGCTCACGCATGCTCACTTATAGTACTCAGTTTAGTTTCGGTTTGGAAAGGCGACTAAAATTGGTCCTTTGGCGCAGGCTTGGCGCAGATTGCCCATATTTTGGCAAAATTTTAGCAGGATGTGGCAGGTTTAGCCCCTTGGCGCAGTTTGGCGCAATTGGCGCAGTAATCGCATCACTGGGGGTAGATGAGGAGCTTGACCGCCTGTGTGCACTGAGAGAGATGACCTTGAGAGTGTAGAGGGCTCTGGAAGATCGCCAGGCTAATCGGCCTGATTAGCAGTAGTATCACTTCATTCTAGGAACAACAGTCAAGTGTACACATAGTATGCGTTAAACTATCTTATGAAGGGTGCTGTGAACGTAGGCGTCTGGAAACTCGAAGTATCACTAAACGTTTGCAATTCTGGAACTTTTCCTGTATGCAACGCAATTCCCTAGCAATTTACCATAAATGTTTTATTGATGCTGGCTGCCCCACAAAGGTAAACTGACAAAACCACATCATCCCCAAGTTAGTAGGGTCAATTATTCTCCGTTCCAGAGCTGCAGAAACGGTTTGCATAGAATTAATTTTCTTCATTTTCCCTTTTGTCATAATTATTGTCAAAGTCCCCCCCTCTCATGAATGGGGTCCCCTATCCGTTCTGCTGATTCAGAAAGGGTCCCTGAAACATCAGTGGTCGAGAACCACTGATCTAGAACCTTAAACGTTGTTTCTATGAAAAGTTTGACGGGCCCGCTCCCAAATGTTGTGAAATGTGGGATGTCGCATAAACAGGGGACGCGTAATCGAGGTTCTACTGCACTATATTTTTATGCTTGTTTGTCAGCCCAACATTTGATAGACTACAACTTCCAAACTTCCCAGTACCTAGTGGTGGCTTAGTAAACGAACCAGAAAAACCTGTCCACTGGCAGAGAAAAAGAAGAGTGGAGTTTACCTGGACGGTTTGAATTTGAGCAACTTGGAGATGAGCTTCTGGTCGGCCTGCACCTTGGCCTTGACCCTGAGAAATCTGCACTGCATCCCCACACAGCGTTCGCACAGTGCACCCCTGCGAGGGCCGGGAACAGGGCACAACACAAAAGGATCAAACAGCTCTTCCAGCAGATACAACAAAAGACTAAGAAAAATACATTTCAAGCGAAAGATCATGTATACAGTGATGACTCGTTAATATTAACACCACCGTTCCCCTTAAAAGCCATCCGTAACGTCAGTCGTCCGTAATAATGAGACAAAAATAGATGCATTTACCCAGTTCGTTCCCCGAAATTGGCTTATGCATGGCTTTCACATGACGTCAGATACCCCTCTTTCTCGTGGCCAAAAACCCGCAGCGGAAGCTATGTTCTCCCATACCTTTTTTGCCAAGTTGCCCCTTCACCCATTACGTCTGACCAAGCAACGTCGGTGCAAGCTATATATTTACGTAGTGGGGAATCCATATTGACGGGGTCCATATTATTGAGACATGACTGCAGCCTTTCTATACTCCATCTCACCTTACAGCAGACCACAGCAGACGTTACAAGCCATTCCAGTCAATCTAGTGCTGTGAACGTATCACCTGACAACTGTATGCGCCTCTCATGTCACTATGCCCCTCCCAAAAGATAACGTGACACACAGCACTGGACTGGCTTAGATGGCTCGTAGCATACCGTAATATCCCGAGTCATCGCCCATCCCCGAGCCATCGCCCACCCCAAGTTTTGGGCCAATATCGATTTCCGAAAAAACACCGAGTCATCGCCCACCCCTTCAAATACCCCAGCGCGGACTCTGCGATCCGCGAACACTCATCCTACCCGAATGACGCGGCCGCGGACCTTACAGTTGGAGGACGTCCGTGACAAAGTAAAACGAAGGAGGGAAAGACACTTCTTTTTGTTTAGCATTTCCTCCGTGAGCGACCCCAAAATGGTCGCGTATCCGTGCGAAAAGAAAACGATGGAGATAACAAAATAAGAGTTTGTTAATGTAACCGCGGAGTGTTAGGTCAAAGTCTGTCTCCGCCGAAGTAAGGTCACCGCGAACCCGCTCCTTCTTCCCGCCCGTCGCGACCGCGGTTGTGCAATATTTTAGGCAAAGCCAACGCGTAAATAAAGCTTTGCTGGAACGCCCTACACAGACGGTTGCAGAGCGTCCCAACCGTGCATTAATAGCCCGCCGTGCACGGACGCACGTATGTACGCACCAAACAAGAAAGTTGCGCAAGAGCTTGCAATTGACAAGGCGTCCGACTTGGCCCGACGCCAAAGTATTTGCCAACACGACCACCGGCTTTCCCGCTGTCCCAGCATTGCTCTTGGTCGCTTCTTTGGGCCGCTCGCTCGCTCGCTCGCTCGTTGCGCCTGGTTGGTTTTTCTATTTTCTTGTAGACTTTTCTTTCTTCTTTTTTTTACTAACTAGGAGAACATAGTGGTGACATTCTTTCACGGAACAAACGTTCGCGCTATATGCAGATCGGCGGTGTTTCTAGCGCGTATGCAAGCAACGGACTTCGCTATAGTAAAATATTCTTTCGTGAGCATTTTTTTCTATAAAACAATGAAACTAAATCGAGTTTTGAGTTTGATGTATCTCTTGTGCATCAGCGCTAGATACGCAGAGAAAAATAGGCGGTTTTTTCCGCTTTTTTTTTAGTGTTTGTGCTCACCCACCGAGACATGGCCCACGCCACTTTTTTAATGAATTTCAGGCGGTAGGGGGGTGGGCGATGACTCGGGATATTACGGTAGTATGCAACTTAGTATAGCCAGCATTCTTATCACGGAGAGAGTCACCAATTGAGCCGAAGTGTTGATGACTTCAGCGTGGGGTCTGCTTACGAATTCGTCAGGGACATTCACAGCCGAATTCACTGTCACGTGCAACCCGAAGGGTGGGTGCAAGACAGAGCTTAAACACTCCAAACATGGCTCCCACCATTTTCTTATAAGTGCATCTCACAAAAGAAAATCTCAAAAATGCATTGCAAAAAGAAAAGAAAAAACAAAAATTCCAGGGTCAGGGAAAAGGGCTATGAGTCAAGCACAAATAGGAGTGGACAATAACCTTGTATACCCTGTCATTTGTTTACACCCTGCCTATTTTTTAAAGGGTAACTGCAAAGAAAAAAAAGTGTATTTTTAAACAGCCTAATTGGGACAAGCAAGTCAGAAAACAATTTTTCCAACAAAAACAAAATTTTTTACAGCAATATTTATTGCGCGGGACTGATTTAGCTTGCGGATATTTTGTCCGTTTTAAATCGCGCGCCACAAAGTTGGTATTATACGTCACGGAGTGGCTGTTATACGCCACTCCGCGCGCGTCGAAAGAGCGGGAGCTTAAAATGTGGAGAGGTTGTGACTCCGACTAAATTGCGTCCTGTAACGTAAATATTGCTAAAAAAAAAATTTTTTTTCCGCAGAAGATTTGTTTTGTGACATGCTTATCCCAATTAAGCTGTTTAAAAAAAACATTTTTTTTCTTTGCAGTTACCCTTTAAGCTTCTGTAGCCTCAGCCGATTTTCTTCTCCCATCATGCTCGACTATTTCATTCATTTACCTCGAAGGCCTATTTTGAGGAAAGATTATGTGAGGCGGATGGGCGGAAAAATAAAATACAATGGTAAAGGAACACATAAACATAACAACATTGCTAGTCATGGCAGCACAGTACCAAAAACAAGTTTTCAATCTCATATGCAATATACAATATGTACATGTTTTCTTCGTTCTATACAACTGCATCCTTCATTAACCGAAGTTCTCATATCTTTGCTCCAGTGCTTACCTGAGCCTGGGGCCACCTCCAAACTTTTCGTATATGACATCCGCCTGCGTGCACAAAAAGAATGGCCCTTTAATGCACCTCGCATCGTACTACGTGCCACAAAGCAATCCGAAACGGGTTTGGACAAACCAGCCCCCTAACGCAGTGGTCCTCAATTAATGATGTCTCGCGGACCCCTTGTGGATCGGCGGAGATGATGAAGGACCCTGCTCGTGGTGAGGGGAAGGGAGAGGTATAGCTTAATTATGAGAATGATTTAATAAGTGTATATAACTAAGAGCTGGTGTAAAGTAGACTTCTTTCATTGACATACACGAGAAAATTCACCCGAAAATTGGAACGTTTCTTCTCAATCGGATAGACAACTTTTAGTGCCGGGCTTGACTGACGAGGCAGGGCTTCGCGGACCCCTAGAGTGCCTTCGTGGACCCCAAGGGATCCGCGGACCCCCATTTGAGAACCACTGCCCTAACGCATTCGCATCTACTCGAGACACCGACACCGAGATAAGCAGTAAGTGGCAACGAGTCATGCACGACAAAAACTTTAAAGCGGCAACCATCGTCCAAGACCCCACATCATCGAGTGGATGACATCATATACCATGAAGTCCAGACCAAACATTACCAAACATTTACCCTCGAAAGACTGCCCATCCCGTTTTTACGGATAAATAACGGAAGGGCCAAAACTACCGCCTCTCGTTAAATTCACGTCGTGTCCGACCAAGGTCCCTGCAGCCGCCAAGCTACCAGTCTCGGTACAGTGCCTGGGGCTCATCTCTGGCTCTACAGCCCACGGAAGCGTCGGCAGCCAGCAGCTGGGACGCCACGACAACAGCAACACTTGCGTTCGTTCTTACTTTTTGCCCAAGCTCGTACGACCAACCGCCAAGATTGCGATATTTGACAGGATGCACCAGTCAAAGACGTGTTCTAGGAACTGCAGTAGTTGTAGGATTTCACCAATACGCTTTTTAGGGGACCTCAATGAAAGGCGTACGACACGGGTAAACGTAACCACCAACGACGCTTCTCGGCAAGAATGCTTCTTACCGCTCTGCTGCTGACGCACTTCATCTTCTCCACTTTCTGGGGGTCCAGGCTGAGTTCGAGCACGGGAGCAAAAAAAAAGCAAAAAGGGAACGGATCAACAGTCGCCGAGAGAAGCATTGCAGAGCTCTCCCGACTAGCCCAGCGTCGCAAACTGAGCGGCTCGGTCGGCAAAAAGAAGAAATTTCAGAGTCACCGAAGCCAAATAACGCCGTCGCAGCAACCAAAACTGACCCAGAAACAAAAATATGAACACAAAAAAACATTGCATACCAAACACTGTGTGCATAGCTAGCACAAAGCGTGAGTAGTAACTATGCTTCTGAGATTTCGTAAGGCTCAGATATTGGAAACATTTGTTTACTGCAACCAAACACAGACTTAATAATGAGGGAAGCCGAGGAAGAATTGCGTGGGGACGTATCGGTCGCCACAAGTTTTGTCTCTTTAGCATACGGTCGACTCTTGATAATTCAAAGCTAACCAGGACAACGAAATGCTTCAAATTGAAAAACACACTCAACCCCCAAAAGTTTTTATTATAGTATTGTTTTTTATCTGGCATTTACCTTGGGGAGTTGTTGAATTCTTGCTTACCTTCGATAACGGAGGCGCGCAGCGTAAACTATGTTCTGCAAATCGCAAACTTTTCCTAGCGAGCTTTCGGCAAGTTCTTCGCCAAACAAAACACGAAAAAGTAGTCTGTGGTGCCGCAAGCAGTTTTCGTGTCAGTGGCACTCTGGCACAGAAAGCGACGTAATCATTCCTAGGCCTAGCCACTTGCACAATTTCGTTATCCGAAAGTGGACCACAAACCATGGCATACTCGTTGACATCAAAATATTCTATGGACAAAACATCTCATTAAACTGGGTAATGCCTCAAACCAAGCTTCATTGGCCATATGTGTCACGCGACTACACTCACTTCAGTAACTTCTGTGTCTCGACTGCTTAATCGGTTTGGCCACCTGGCAGGTAATCACACGCTGTGCTTGTTCCCCTCTTCTTCAATCATACATACAGTAGATAAAATTGATAATGCGTGCAAAGGTGCCATTTAAGCTAGGTCAGAATAATCGCTATGCTTTTTCGTGCTTCCAGAAATGCTGGACTTCTCGAGCGTGCGAAAAAATCCTTCAAATTAACCAGTCCCAGAGGATAAACTTTGCATTCTCGCATGTTTTTCCCCATAGACCTGTACGTGTAATTTTCAGCAGCACCCCATTTCAAACCAACAAAAAATTAAAATAAAGCAACTTCGAATTACCGAGAGTCGACTGCATAATATATAGTATGTAATACCAACTTCAATTCTTTGTTTCGATGCACTTGTCTAACACAGCCAGCCATGTGCACTTTGCAATTTCCCGCATTTGAAAACATCTGCTCAAACGTGAAAGACGTCACATGACCTGCTGCTGTACTTCAGCAGTGTTGCCATCACTTTTTCACCCACTTCATTTCCAATTTCCCCACAAACCCTCCGGAACAAAAATAATAGACGTTTCTCGTACACAGGCATGTAGCCGAAGGAGCCCATGAGGCCCGGCCCCCCCCCCCCCCCCTCCCTCCCCCCCCCCCTCCCTCCTTCCCTCCCTCCCTCCCTCCCTCCCTCCCTCCCTCCCTCCCTCCCTCCCTCCCTTCCCTTCCCTTCCCTTCCCTTCCCTTCCCTCCCCCCCCTTCCCCCCAATATTTTTCATTTTGCTGGGACCTCCTTTCCCCCTCCCCCTCATACAGCATTCATCTCACATCATCTCCCCAGGATTCATCTCACATCATCAAACACCTAGTCACCTGTCAAGATAAAGGTGCACATCCCCTTCTTCCCCAACACCTATTACATTTGATGTCATATTTTTAGTGTTGCCAGTAGTGCCTTTCAGCCTCTCAGATCAAACTATCTTCGCAAAAATATTATTGTAATTGGTAATTTGGGTTACTAGTGCAAACTCATGAATTAATGCTTAAAAGTAATTTTGAGGCAAATCAGCGACTAAAAATAGTGCCAGAGAATACTTTCTACAGCAGCGGTTGCCTCTCCTCTCGCATCGCAAGACAGACAGCCCATCTGCTTTTGATGGCGTCACACGTGACTCGCGACAAACCACCAGGCTCAACTGGATGCACGACCGCAAGAGGTTAACATGGGTACCTTGGCCACGCAGCCGTAATCAGGGCTTTGATCGAGGGAAGAGAAGGTAGGTTGCGAGGGACTCACAGGTTGTGGGGACAGACCACGGAAGAGTTGTCCACGGGGGGCACCTTCTTGGGGGGCTTCTGGGCCAGCCACTTCACCAGCCACTCGGCGGGCAACCAGTCGAACGACTCGTCTGGTGGAACGAGGTGACGAGGTCTCAACTAGAGTAACTAAATGTTCCCAGAGTACCGAAACTCCCAGGCTCGAGGCGCAAAAATGGCGGCTCAATCTTTCTTTTCTTTACTGCAGTCACCACAAGCATTTAGAAAGCATGTTTTTGCCAAAAAACAAACAAAAAAAGCTCTTTTTGTACAAAATTGATTGGAGATTAGTACAAAATGGCATGAGTGTGATGTTTTCATAAAACTTTAGTTTACAAGGTTTTGCCGCATAATCAATAATGTTTTTACACAACCAAGTTTCGCCAGTGATTTCAGGTAGCACGTCCCAACTTAGGTGCGTCCTAACTTCCTCGGTAATTTGCGGCGCGTCCACTTGGGGGACGGGGGTTGAAAGCCCCAAAACCCCTTCCACCGTATACATTTCAGTGCCAAAATGACCAATCGAAGCTAAAACCAAATGGCAACAGCAGATGCCATTGAATGCGATACTGTGTCAAGGACATACTCTCCTATGGGCCCGCTTTTCAGTCAGGGGTGCGAGCACACTGCCCGGAACGTGCCTCGTACCGGCGCATTAGCATTGCGCCGTTGTTGACCATGATCCTGGCGGCGTCACGGAAGGGGTGGTGGACGCGGCGGACGCCCGTTCGCCGCGGGTCGCTTTCCGGCTTGACGGTCCACAAAAGCTTCGGCAGCCGGCAATCGCCACAACGACGGCGACGCTCACGTTTGCTCCCACTTTTTGCGGGGAGTTCTACGATTGACCACCGGATTGTGACGTCCGACAGCGGGACACTCTGGCTTTTGCAACGCCGCTTTGTTGCACCTTCGGGACTGCTTTCAATACGTGGGCAGAGTGGGACGCCAAGCGCACCAGTCACGGTCGCATTTCAAGCACTGTAGTGCGAGTGCTTCTGCGAGACGTGACCCGTAATGCCGGCACAGGGCGGCGCCGCGGCATTTGCTATGGTCGCCGACGAGGTGAGAACGGACGAGGTAGAGCTTTGGTCGTCCCACTTCCGGCACGAACTTCCCCGCCTTCGACGACGCTTCGGCGTCTTATACGCCTCGAGCATGCGCGCGTGGCAGAAGCATTGTGGAAAGCGTGGAAGTGTTGCGGAAGGCACAGAACACGTGCCAGGGGCCGTCCTCGTTCCGTCGGCGACCACGACGTCTCGAAGACACGACCGAGTGCGAGCCGGGGTCATGTACGGGCGTCGTTCGGTGCATCCGCACATGCTAATAGAATGTTTAAAAAAAAAAATTACAATAAAAACCAAAAAAAAAAAAAAAAAGCTCTTCAGTTTTCGTTTTTATTGCTCGCTTTCCGTTCACAAATTTATACCAACCAATGCAAATGTATCATATTAGCGCGTGTGAGAGATGCTGGCGAGCATGATGACACTTGACCGGAATGACCTAAAAATAATAGATTTTGCTCGCCGGGGGTGCTGCGTCAGAACTTGAGAGTTGCGGGCTTATGACTTCAATTTGTGAACTGAGATTTTGCAGATTGCGGACTAGATGTGGCAAATGAGAAACAGTGTCTAAAACGAAGGTACTTATCCTTTTCTTGGCTAGTATTAATTAAATTCGGTACATTTGTCTTCAATGCAAAGACAAATGCACCAAAAAAAGTAACCTACAATCATTAGACTACCGGATGCCAGGAGGCAATGCAACCTCAGATCACAAAAGCGTAGTTTGCCTTAATGTGTGGGCATTGCAACACAGACCAGAGGACTGAGTGGTAGTGTTTGGCGTGCATTTTGTAAGCTTGAAAGGAAGAGAGCATTCCAAATTCTGTATTTGCTCAAGTAATAGCCACACTTTTTAGAAACAAGGCCGTTGCATCAACAATTCTGCGGAACACACATGCATCCGATTGTCGCGTTCTGCATAAAAGCTCCACAAATTATGAGGCCGAGAAAACAATTTTCTGTGAAAATGCGATCTGAGCAGATTGCATTTTCACGTGAAGACGTTATCTCTGTTCCATAAATCGTCACTTTTCTGTCTATTGCGGAGATTCGCTATCCCCGTGCTCCACAGAAAAGCAGACCCACAGGCTTTTTACATGAACACTGCGGCAATTACATGAGCAAATACGGTATTAGCTACATCAGAACAACTCCAAACTAATGAGGGGCAGAGAAGACCAACCCGAAACAATGTGCATCTGCTCGTAGAGTGAACGTAGCTCAGTCTGTCGCTCCTTCCCCGCGCTCACCGTCTCTGCCTGCATGGAAAGAAATGCTCCAGTCAGAACAAGTGCAGCCAGTCACTGCATCTCTGCGGGAGAGGCTATGCATACTGTTGTGAAAGATGCGAACATCAAGTGTGTGCTAACTGACCTGACAGAATGCAGTGGCTTAATGTTAGGCATCTGCGAATAGTGGACTTTGAGTTTGAAGCGAATTCGCAGCGAACAGCGGTTGTAGCCGAATACTTTCTAACTGAATATTGAATAGTTGCTGCACCTCTCTCCAAGCCTTTTAGCTTTGTCGCACCAGGTTTAAATAGAAATCCAGTTGAACTCGTGAGAGTTCTTGCCAAGCTTCCACTTGTCTATTTCTAAGCTCAGTTAACGTTAATCTAACTATATTTATAGACTGTGACATCAGAAAGTTTAATGCCTAGATTGAAGTGGCAAGTAAACAATGACTTTGACATTAAACTAAACCTATGACGATACCCAGTCATGGGTAAGTTACTTTTAAAAAGTGATTTGTTACAGTTACAGTTACTTTCAGAAAAATGTAGCGAAGTTACCGTTACAGTTACCGCATCAAAAGAGTAACTCATTACAGTTACAGTTACTTTTAAAAAGTAACGACGTTACTTTTCAGTTACTTTTCTATAACACGAAAAATTTAGGAAATACTCGAAAACGCCCCTCACCAAGTTTTATCGAATAAAAGTAAAAAAGTATGCTTTTTACTTCATATTGTGTCATAGCAGCAGATGCTTCTTGAAATTAGTGACTGAAAGTTTCCCTCGTTTGATGGCGAACACGTCCTTGCCCTTCCTGAATGAACCCCGCACAACCAGAGCAACGAGCAAACCCTGTGCAAAGCAGCAGTAAATTTTGCTTCGACTAATGACACCATGTCGGAGCGGCGCAAATCACAATACGAAACATGCGCAAATCAAAATACGAAACATTCACAACACCCTGTGTGTGTATTGTTGTTTCACGGTTGATTCACCCAATTAAAAAGCGTTTGCGCAGAAAGAAGAACAACCGCAGCATAGATAGTGCTTCAAGATACTAAGATATAAGTGTTCAGTCATAAAGTACACGTGCGTGCGTAAAGATAACTAGATTTTTTTTTTCATCCCATCAACACGTGGCTATATTCGGGTCGTGACTTGCAAGAAAGAACGTATTCACAACTTTGTGCAAGGCCAACTTGACACTAAGAATGTCGGAACAGACAATTTGGAAAGTGCAAGAACAGCTAGACTGTACTCATTGAATCACATTATTTATAAAAAAAAAAAACGGAAAGTAACGACCAAAGTAACGTCGTTACTTTCATCGTTACCTCAGAAAAAAGTAATAGAACTACAGTCACAAGTTACATTTTTAAAAAGTAACTCGTTACAGTTACAAGTTACCAAAAAAGTAACAGTAACGCGTTACTACCCAATACTGGCGATACACAGCTACACCTATATGAGGGAATTTATAAATCTGCTTGCTATATGCAAGTATCCTTCCTTCAATTTCAAATTAAAAAAATACAAGCAAGCATGAATGATGAATGCAGCTGTCAGGGCACAGCTGCTTAACATATATATGCTTGCATATATATGTTAGGCAGCTGCATACATATGCTGGGTAGCCACAGTTTAATTTTTGAAAAATTTACTGCAATGTAGATGTGAACATTCACAAAGTTCCATTCTTGTCTCCTTTTTAAATACACCAGGCGCACACGTGCACCATTCTGGTTTGAAGGTGTGCGTTTCTCCCAAACATGCGACTCTGCTGCGGCAAAGTGAGGCTCATGGAATCGCAGCGTCAGTTCCACGGGTATTGTTTCTCCGCAGTGCACCAGTGCTCAGCAAGAAGCGCACTCGACGGGGCTAATTCGCCGCAATTAACATTTAAAAAAGTATGAATGTCGAAGTTAGTGACGTATCATTGAAAACTACTACTCGAAAATTTGAATATAGTATTTGCACAACCCTACTTAATGTTCTTACCGGACGTTTGCAGCGTCAGTGGTTCACTTTTAGCTTGCTGAAGCACATTCCAAACGTTCTGTGCATGCACCGACTGCGCAAGCTAACTGGAAAATCCCCCCACCACAGTGTATACATCTGGTGTAACGTCACGCAGTTCCAAGTGCACAGTGACAAATGCACAAGTGTATACCCTGGGATGCACTTCAATTCGCCTTGCCTGCCTCTGCATTCCTGGTCACTGCCTGCCTGCATGTGGTGCTGCCTCGGTTATATTTAAGAAAGTCATGTTGGGGCTAGCTATACAGCGTAGACCGCATATAACGTATGTCTCGGGAGTCGCGAAAATCCGCACTATAACCAAAACATCAATTTTTCAGGCCAAAATACATGCCATGAGACAACTTACCTTTGTAAAAGAATTTATTTTATGTTAGATGAAAAATAAAGCTTAGTTTGAGGAAAGTCTTTATTTCACCAGACTAGTACAGTTCTGTCTCAAGTGTGTCACACATTTTGAAAGAAATGAGCGGCTTTTGCCTGGTGCAGCCTTTTAACGGCGTCGCGGGTTGCGGACGGACGTTGCGAGCGTTCAGGATTGCTAACCCTAATCACTTTTCTCCGGAGATGAAAACGCATGAAAATTCGCATCCTTCATACAGTACGCGCCAGTAATACCTTGAACTTGAGCACACGCATGAAATGCGCCAAATAAGAAATCCGGGCGATGTTCGAGGACACAAATGCTTAGAAATCACCACTGTAGTCGAAGTAAACAAACACGACGACACGGGCGTTTCTGCCGTCTTGAGAGCGCCGCCACGACATCGCCGCACGAGTAGGTGGATCTTCCCTTCTAGTACGTGCTGGGTTATCATAGCGACACACAACGAAAATTCACAGTCAAGGATAGCGCTTTTACGCAGAACGATGAGATGAACGCCGTCTACGACGACGATCACAACCGACGCCATGTTTACGGAATAGAAGCAGCCGGCCCGCGACCGGTATGCAACACGCGCGAGCACTTCTCCTCGACCTTCGATTGGTCTGTCGTTGCGGTTGTTTGTTTCTTTGTTTCCAATGCAGCGGAGGGACGCACGCACGTGAACGACTCGTGCGTGCGTCCCTCCATCGCTATGGCAACTGAAGCCTCTCTTTTCGCTTCTCCCCGCGTTTTCGAGCAACCTTTTTGCCCCGCGGTGCAGCTTGCGGCTCGCGCCGTCAGCGCCGTTATCTAGTGTTGCACAGGGAAGCGTGCTCGCTGCTCTGGTCGTCGGTGCGCTCGGCGGGCTGTGCCAAAAACCGCACTATAACCGGTATTTCCCTTCGCGCGCCTGCATTTTAAGCGGTATGTAATTACATGGAGTTCTATGGGAGGTGAACCGGTGGTTTAAAAAAACCGCGTTATACCCGGTCCTGCACTATAAGCGGTTACGTTGTAAGTGGTCTATACTTAGCACTATTTGTGTAATAAGGCCTAGTCAGAATCAGTGCTTGCATAATCTCATCCTTTCCTTGCAGCTAGTCTCAACGTCTTGACTAGACCTTCGCTCGGTGGTTTCAGCTTACGTCACCCAAGAGTGTATGCGCTCAATTGTGATTCTTAGACTAAAGAGCATCATTGCAGGAATCATCTGTTCTGGCCGCAGAGGCTCAATCAACAGCATGGGTAAAACAGACCTCTTGCAAAACAGTCTTTGACTCGCAGGTGACAGAGCATCCACCTACAATGTTGCTCAGAAAAATGAAAACGATAAGGAGTTTAAAGACAAAGGCTATACAGTATAGACCACTTAAAACGTAACCGCTTATAGTGCAGGACCGGGTATAACGCGGCTTTTTTAAACCACCCGTTCGCCTCCCACAGAACTCAATGTATTTACATACCGCTTAAAATGCAGGCGCGCGAAGGGAAATACCAGTTATAGTGCGGTTTCTGGAACAGCGCGCCGATTGCGCCGATTGACCGGCGCAGTCAGCACGCTTCCCTGTGCGACGCTAGATAACGGCGCTAGCCTGGCTAGCCGCAAGCGGCACTCGCGGGGCAAGGAGGTTGCTCGAAGTCGTGGCTCCAAGAAGCGGAGAGAAGCGAAGAAAGAGGCTTCAGTAGCCATAGCGACAGAGGGACGCACGCACGTGTCGTTCACGTGCGTGCGTCCCTCCGCTGCGTTGGAAAACAACCGCAACAACAAACCAATTGTAGGTCGAGGAGAAGTGTTCGCGCGCGTTGCATGCCGGTCGTGGGCCGGCTTCTATCCGCAAACATGGAGTCGGTTGCGATCGTTCCGCGTAAAAGCGCTATCCTTGACTGTGAATTTTTGTTGTGTGCCGCTATGATAACCCAGCACGTACTAGAAGGGAAGATCCGCCTACCCGTGCGGCGATGTCGTGGCGGCACTCTCAAGATGGCAGAAACGCCCGTGTCGTCGTGTTTGTTTGCTTCGACTACAGTGGTGCTTTCTAAGCATTTGTGTTTTCGAACATCGCCCGGATTTCTTATTTGGGGCATTTCACGCCTGTGCTAAAGTTGAAGGTATTACTGGCGCGTACTGTATAATGGATGCGAATTTTCACGTGTCTTCATCACCGGAGAAAAGTGATTAGGGTTAGCAATCCTGAACGCTTGCAACGCCCGTCCGCAACCAGCGACGCCGTTAAAAGGCTGCGCCAGGCAAAAGTCGCTCGTTCCTTTCAAATTTGACACACTTAAAAGAGAAGTGTACTAGTCTGGTGAAATAAAGACTTTCCTCAAACAAAGGTTTGATTTTTCATCTAACATAAAATAAATTGTTTTACAAAGGTAAGTCAGTGGCCTGAAAAATTGATGCTTTGGTTATAACTTATAACGCAGTACCGCTTATAGTGCGCATTTTCGCGACTCCCGCGAGATACGTTATATGCGGTCTACACTGTACTACCAAAATGTATGTGGGTTGCAAACAAAGGCAGGCAAATTTTTGTCGAGCCTCGCAGTTTCCTTTTTTGACATTATCAGTCTTACAGAGACTTGGTTATGCCCCGAAATACATGATTTGCAAAATTTTATAAGAGACTGTTTCGTCGTGACAGTGATTATATCGCAACTGATCAAAGGTTCGCTGGAGAGGTTTTAATGGCCGTCTCAAGCAAGTTCAAGCCACACCATAGATGCGACCTTGAGACTTGTGATGAGTATGTTTGTCTCTAGATTTCATTTCACGACCGCTCCCATTACCTTATTGAAACACCTAAATCGCAATACTACCAATCTTTAATTTCACACTTCAACACATTAACAAATGAAATTCATTTTAGTATATATACAAAGTGCAAATGTATGGCGATTTCAACCTTCGGGGCATGACTGCACTCTTGGTAGACTTGATTGCAGTGATTACCGTAGAGAAAGCGAGGCTTCTTGGATTTTGCTGCTAATGAATTTTTATGGGCTTTCCAAACACAATGAACTCAAGAATGCTTCAGGCAACACACTTGACTTGCTTTAATCGAGTTTCCCTATCGGCACGCTCGCAACACACTCTAGGAGCTGATCGTTATATGTGGTATCATTATAAGTGAGTTGCGCTGTATCTCAAAATTTTGAGTGGGCACTTGCCCGGTATTTTATGGTAGAGTTTTTACAGAAACTCATCCAAGGTCATAATGACATACTTGATCTTTTGGAATAGCTTTAAGTTCCGTATCCCAGCTAAATTCAAGCGACACCGCAAACGTTTTATCCCGACAAGCAATTTGAAGAATCGCCATTACATCGAATCCCAATTTTTTGTAATAGCCATGTTCAGCACAATTTCTTTTCTATGCCTTATGTTACCTTTGAATGGTGTAATGTACCTATAATATGATTTATTATGACTTGGGCTCTCTGATGGGTTATTTATATTGTCGCGAATGACAAGTGATGAGGCGACAAAAACAGAAGAAAACTAAACGTTTCATGGGGCGAACTTGTGCCCAAAACAAAAAGGAAACAGAAGATAAAAATACAGCGTCGCGGGTGTCGATGGCGGCGTAACAACAGGATCCAACGCTGGAGCGAGACTGACTCCGGCTTGACACGCCGAGCCCCTTTTGTACACGCGAGGGCTTCTGGCACATTCAACGTAGAAGGTTCGGTGCACAGAACATTCTAAACTCAAATCAGCAAGACAGTTCTCAGGTTACCGGAACATCACATTACAGAGTCAACAAAAATGTGTAGCCGCGGCCAGGAATTAAACCCTGGCCTTCCGCGTGGAAGGCAAGCGCGATAACCGTTAGGCCATGGGCGCGCTGCATACTTGGTCAGCTGCGCGTGCGGCAATATGTCATATGTCTTTATATGTTGAATTTTTTCTTTTTAATGTGTAAGTGATTTATCGTGCACTAATGTCAAAATCTTCATGGTGTTTTTGGGTACGTAGTAAATGTCAACAACAATGTGAACATCAACACGATGAAAGAAAGATTTCAGCATGAACTAACCCTCATGGCATCTAGCTCGGCGACCCACTGTTCAAAGTCTTCGTTGTCCTTGGAAACAGCAGCCTTCAGGTGGTCGGGCAGCTCCCAGAACGAGTCGTCCTTGTCGGCCGGGAACACTGCGCGAAATTCGAAAGCGAGACTCGGAGAATTTGTTTGGAGATTGGTGACGCAAGGAACCGACGCCTGAAAATGACTAAAGCAAGTACAGGGAGCTCCCCAGAAACGAGAACCATGTTTTCCGGCTCAAGTAAATAAACTATGCATTGCAGAAAGCTGAAGCTCCATCAGAATGTGACGACAGTGGTTGGGATAGAACGTAAAAGTTTGAGAACATGACGTCACCTGGATCAAAAGATAATTGAGAAAAACAAAATTTCTCTATGAGCCGACGTTCAGTTAAGCCTAATATTGCCAAAACGAGAAATGACACTGTGGGAACCTGTAGTATTTATTTGAGTAAAAAAAAAACTTGTCACAAGAAAGAAAGCCAATATCCTCTTCCTTGCTGAAAAGTGTTTTTCACTGAAATAGAAGCTACATGCTCCAACAGTGTCATTTCTTGTTTTAACGATTTTAGGCTTAGGTGGATGTCGGTTTGCAGAGAAATCTGATTTTTCTCAATTATCTTTTGATAAAGTTAACGTCATGTTCTCAAACTTTCACATGTTTGAGCTTTCTGCAATGCATACCATATTTACTCCAGTAATAGCCGCACTATTTATGAACAAGGCCCTTGCGTTCAATTTCCCGCAAGGCAGGTATACAGCCAACCATTGCGTTGCGCATAAATAACATAGCGAATAACAAGACCGAGAACACAAGTCTCCATACAAATGCAGTCATCACAGATAGTATCTTCGTGCGAAGACGTTATCTCTGTCCTGTAAACCGCTGCAATCATGCTGTCGATCGCGGTAAGTGGCAATCCGCATGCTTCGTGGAAAAGCAAACCCTCAGGTTTTCTACACAAAGAGTGTGACTATTATTCGATTAAATACGGTAGTTCATTTACCTGGGCCGAAAAACACAGTTCTCGCTTCTCAGAAACTCCCCATACTTATGTCTCCATCACAACATTCAACCTGACCCAAAATTAGGCAGGGCCAACCAGTGCTGAGAAAACCATATGCTTTGTTGAAATTTTAAGCGAAGCGCTTAACCCTTTCTCCTTCCCTCGACGGTGCTCAAGAAAGGGTAAAACAATGGCGATCTCGAAGCGAAGTGCCTTTATCGCGCCGTGAGAGGGCCAAGTAAAGGATCATGAAGCAGCATACAGTTTTTCAGCCTGTTCAACACTTTAACAAGTGTTGAGGACTTTTCTGCACCTTGCTCAACTACTTTACGCAAATTTCCCGACTAATTTAGAGCAGGTAATAAGACCTGGAGCTACCAACAATGATGGCAATGAAGTGTCAGCGGGGACCGGTGATCTTTATGTCGCCGAGAAAAATAGTGAATTTTATTAATGTATCCAAACCCTAGTGATTAAATCGGGATACACAAAATGGGTAGTGTGCTTATGAGCTTTTCTGAGGTCGTTGCACATGCAACGTATACGACGAGCATCGTACCACTATGATCCATACGTACGGATCAGAATATGTGCAGCACATACAATGGTCATGTGGTTGGTACCACTGGGGGTCACCTAGTAACATCGCTAGTGTCACATGACCACATCATGCTGATAATGCCACATGATTATTGTCAGTCACGCCGATGATGTCACATGCATAAAGTTATTAATGCTAGAGGCTTAGCTGGCACTAGTGTGCTTATGCAAAATGAAGCAAGCAGCAACCAGTTGAAAACTGACTTCCGGTAATGTATTCTTATAAGGAAAAGCGGGTGCATCATTTCTGTGCGCTGCATTATAGGAGCAAATATTACGAATGATTTGAACTTAATAAATGGCTTAGAACATTTCTCAATCACATACAAAAGAAATAGGTCCCACACTGTGCTTTTTTTTGTTTTTTTTTTCTCAAATTTATGACACTAAACACAGTGCTAAAAAAGCTTTATAAATGTATTTATGTGTACTGTAGAACACCATTAGCGCAAACACGGAGTCAGCGTTTTTGAGGGGGGATTTATGTTCTAAACGAACAAGGAACATTTGGAAAATCAACAGAGACAGCAAGAAATATGCAGTAACGCTGCATCAGCAACTCCCTGTGCATGTCGACGATAAAAATGAAATGTAGTCCAAGTAATTATAGTCCGATTTGCTATAAATAATTTTCACTTTATTCTCTCCACCCATGCATATGTGCAAAGATACTTGTTCTAGCGTTCAAAACAATGTCCGCACGCTAGAAAGTTTTGAAAATAAGGAAAAGTAAAAAAACACGTGCCCAATGAAAGCTGCCAACATATAAAATAATAAAAAAAGGTTGCTTTCATAGCCCAGATACTTAATTCTTTAAGCTTTAGATGTACTTTGTCCGCTCAAAAAGTTTCACGACGGGGTAATTTTCATGTAGCAACAGGGCCGGCATATTAGGAATATATTAGTATCATCAGAATGTTTGTGCTGCTTGACCACACTCTGCCTTTCTTTCAATTGGTATTTTGCTTAGATTCGTCACTCGTCTTTACACACCTGCTGTGGAACATAGGTTTTGGCTTGAAATAGAAGCAAAGTTTAACATCATTCACTGATGAAGAAAAATACTGTAACTAAAGCAGTTAGACTTTTATAATGCTAATGAAAGCACATACTACTATTTGCTAAAACCCAAATAACAAAGGAGATCTCTTTTATTCTTTGACAGAGAGAGAAAATGCACGCATATTTTCCCATAGGAGCACAGCAAAAGTAGACTTGCCACTGTCTGCTTTAATTTTCATCGTACAAGTCGCGTAGACACTAGTGCCAGTTAGACCATTAACATCCATTATAAAAACTCTATAGTCATGTAACCCCCCCTCCACTAAATTCAATGGAGAAATCGAATTGGTGCATAATATATTAAACCAATTCAGATCTCCCAGCTAAATTTAGAGGGAAACACAACCCTGTTCAACCAGGCACAAAAGCAAATTTTGTGTATAGTTTGTCCATCTGCAGTGCAAAGGAGTTCTTACAAAATTTCAGAAAAAACTAACACTTTTACTTATGCTTTATGCATCAAAAGCATGTACAATCTGATAAAAAAAAAAGATCTTACATTTACATATAATAATTATCTTTATTCATCAAACAAAGAGGAAAATGAGTGATGCCTTGCGAGGAGCCAAACTTTTTTTATTACAGTTATACTACGAACGTGACGGCGGCTCTGTAACAGAAGTTAAAGGGTAACTGCAAAGAAAAAAAAGTTTTTTTTTAAACAGCCTAATTGGGACAAGCATGTCACAAAACAAATGTTCCGTGAAAAAAATGATTTTTTTTATCAATATTTACACCACAGGACGTAATTTAGTAGAGTCAGAACCTCTCCACATTTGAAACTCCCGCTCTTTCGACCCCTTGCGTAAGAGGAGTACGCCTTGCCCCTCACTCTCCTTGCGTTGCGGAGTTGAACAACGCAGCGTCTCGACTTCCGGCAAGATCTGGCAACTACGCCAGGCCGCGGTATTGTTTTGGTTTCACGTGGTTTGCGAGCACATGTAGCGAAGACGTGACCGGAGAAGTGCCCCTGTGATGTTCCCGGAAGACGGAAAGTATCGTTCTTAATCGTCGTGCGCGCTTTGAAAGCGAAGGGAGTCACAGAATGCACGAGTGCGCAACCACAAGCCAAGGTTCACCACAGCGCTGCGTTGGTTTCGGCGATCTCGTTCTGTTTGGTGCAACACGGCGATGCGACAGAGCTGAAGCGTTCGTGGTGTGTGTAATGCGGTGCTATGTGTGTTATGCAGGGTTGACGTATAACGGGTCCAGTCCCGTTATATGATACAGTAAAACTGGCCCGGGAGGACGCAGCAAGCGTTTTTAAAAGTAAATCTTCCTTCGTTCTGTTTCAAAATGTGGAAAATTCCGGACGCATACCGTGAGCAAAAAGCTGCGGGCGTTTTCAAATAAATTGCGTCGTTTTAATTGAACAATGGATGCCGAATTGTTCTCCTAAATCTGCCGTTTTTATGCTTCGTGTTGTGTGACTGCGTTTGCACAGCGACGTGTTGCGCTCGTCGTGCGGTGTGAATAAATTTGGGCAAGATTTCGTACCTGTCTACAGGTGCATGAATTGAGACCACTTTTTACGTAGTGAACATGGTGTTTTTTTTTTATTTTGTGTGTCTAGTTGTGGACGTTAGGTGCACCCGGTGCGAATCTCGATGGCCTCCGGAGCGATATGACGAGAACGTAACTGGACACGTTTGTCGCTACGCGAACGCCAGATTGCCTCCAGCCAAATAGCATTCCTTTCGGGGCGACATGGCTGCTGGAAGGCTCACTGTCGGGATCACGCATCTGACATCTCCGAAAAGTCAGCATTTGCACGCGCAAACAAGCGAAACAAACACACACACAAAAAAAAAGAAAAAAGCACGCTAAGCAAGCAAAGAGGAAAACGAAAGAATTGCGCTATGAAAGCCAAAACCCCGCGTCGCTTCCTATCACTAACACCTGCGACAGCTGCTAAACAGACACTACTTCACTTCAAGAAGTCTTACTCAAGCACCTGGGTCAGCACGAAACACTGATCACTTCGGCGAAACGATTAGTCGAGGTAGGCGAGACAGGCGGGAGCAGAGACTTCGGCGGCCATGAAAGAATGGCGAAGCTTTTGTTTGTATGAATCCAAACGGAAGTGCCCGTCTTGTAAACCTTTTGTAAAGAATAATAACTCTCATCACATGGGTTATTCTTTAAACGTAAAAATATGCCGCTCAAAAGGAAATTGCAACATATAACAAAGGTTTAACAACCAAGATCTAAGCTGTCAATCAAACTCTTAGCCAATGAGAACCTATTGGGATTGACGTCACGTAATCACAACTTCGTGGCGCGCGATTTAAGGCGGACGAAATAGCCGCAAACTAAAATGAGTCTCATGCAATAAATATTGCTGTAAGAAATGTTTTTTCTCGCGGAAAAATTGTTTTTTGACATGCTTGTCCCAATTAGGCTATTTAAAAAAAAACTTTTTTTTCTTTGCAGTTACCCTTTAAGGAGCCGCCGAAAGACAAAACTTCTGGCGGTGCCAGGGTTCGAGCTTCGAGTCTCCAAATAGCTGCTCTAGCGTGTTAACCGCCGGCGCACAATGCCATGTCTTTTCGAAGCTTCCCATCTGTCTTATTAATGTACCGAAACAAAATGTATTCAAGAGAAACACTGGCATAAATGTAATTTTTTTTTTTCTTAATTAAAAAAATGTTGTTTTCAAATTTTACGTTTTAGGTTTCATAAACTAATAATGCACCCTTCCAAAAAAATTTCGAAAGCATATACTGAGGATTTATGTCACTACAAGACATTTTCGACGGGACAGCAAAGGGTGTCTCATTCTGGAGCCATTCGGGTGAGCTATTTGCCAACAGTTACTAACTGTTTTCAAACACCAACCTCTCTATGCTCAATGTATAGACGAACTCTTGATCGGAGACCCTAAAAAAACTAAAGAAAAAGGGCTCAGGAGATGGTGCCAGTTGATCAGTGTGGTCATGAAAAAGTTGACAAACTATTATGCATATATACGCTGAAGGCACATGTTTCAAGAGTTCAGGAGATGCAGAAAAGCCTGTTTAGGAGACCTGCAGTATTAAAGGGGCACTGACACATCAAAATTATATTTTTTTTTATTATCCAAAATGATTGAAAACGATTCCGGGACATTACCCTCAAAATTCGCAACTTGGGAATTCAGTATTTGTGAAGTAAAAAAACAATTTCCAAATGCCGAATTCGAAGTTCCCGCGCGATCCGCGCCATTGCATTGACGTCAAACATTGTGGAGTCCTGAGAGTCCACTTTCTTTCACGACTCAGTGCTGTTACCATCGCGACCCAAAGCGACGAGGAAAGGAGCAAGCGCCGATAGACCGAAAAAAAAAAACGGTTTTGAGCAGTGTCGCCTGTTTTCCGAGGGAGGATACAAATCCAGGACGCGGCACCACAACGGACTCCGATTTTTGGTATTTCAAAAAGAAGGGCCGTAGTGGATTCGCAATTGCGTTAAAAAACATGTTTTACGATTGCCGTTATTAAATATTATAGAAATGTCTCCTACAAAGCTTCTAAATTTCATGACTTTTGACGTCACGAATCAAAAGAAGCGAGGAGGCGAGGAGCGGCAGAGGAAAGCAACAAAATTAAAAAGGGGCGCGCGCGCGTAAAAATTTTTTTTTTCGATGCGTTTTTTTTTTGTGTCTATGACTACAAGTTGCATTGTTTTAGACAATAAAAAAAAATATGACCCTTGGGGTGTCAGTGCCCCTTTAAAAAACACTAAAATGAAAAAAAAAAGTTTTTTTATAGGTTTTCATTATTTTTTTTTTGTAAATTTTCCTACTAAAAAAAAGTTTTTTAACAATATTTTTTGTTGTTAGACGCAATTTAGTGGGGCTAGCCCTACTCTAGCCCTACCCAGTGCTTAGAAAACTGAGCACCTTTTCTTGGTTCTCATTGGTTGGAGAGATGAATGATGTGTGAAATGTTGGTTATAAAAGTGTCTCTCTGTGCCGTAATAGTATTTTAATTGACCACATTTTCATGCTTAAGAAACAAATAATCTAGATAAAGTCATTATTGTTTTCAAAAATATCCCGAGATTGCCTTTCCGCTTCGGTTCCAAATGATTACAAACATGGCTACCAGCCTCTGCAGAGTTATGGTGCCTGAAGCGCATCTCCGGCTGGTGTGTTTAGCGTCCTATCCCATTTATGCATCAAAAGTGGTCCCGAAGTGGCAACAAAATGATGTCACAGAAATCAAAACGTCCTGCTGTTGGATGCCGCGATCCTGGCAGTTGGTCGTAGAAATGCTGGTGAAAGGCTGCAGGTATGTTCCCGGGAACATACCTGCAGCAGAACAGGCGCCTGCCACATCCAGTACCGCTGCTGGGACACCGCCAGGATCACGACCGGTGAGAGCATGACGCTTCTATGACGTCACCAGGTGGAAATCGAGGGACAACTTTTTCAGACGCGGTAAACACACCAGTCGGAGATGCGTTCCAGGCATTATAGCAGAGTGATCAACGAGAGCAGTTCATGCTGACTTGCAGCTTCTATGTCCATGTCTGTGCATGGAAGACAGCAATAGATAGTGGTGTGGAATAGCAGACGGTGCCGGAGGCTGCCGCGCGTCTGCTCGCATGTCTAGCAGGCGGTGCCAGACTCCAGACAAATTGGAGACAATGCGGAGCGCAAGTTTGTCTGCTTCTTGCACAGGGGCTGTGATGATGTCAGAATGCCAAGCTCTTATTGGCCGATTGAAAAAAATAGTGAGTAGACCTCAAGGCATCTAGTATTGAGGTCTACCCACTATCCTTTCGATCAAAGTTAATCAGAGCTCGGCGTTCTTCTGACGTCACCTCAACTCCTGCGCAAGAAGCAGACGACTTGCTCTCCACATAGGCATCCAAAATGTTCGGTCGAGCACTCAAGCCAAACCAGTACAGTATAGACCACTTACAACGTAACCGCTTATAGTGCAGGACCGGGTATAACGCGGCTTTTTTAAACCACCGGTTCGCCTCCCATAGAACTCCATGTATTTACATACCGCTTAAAATGCAGGCGCGCGAAGGGAAATACCGGTTACAGTGCGGTTTCTGGAAGAGCCCGGCGGCCGTGCCGACTGACCGGCGCAGCGAGCACGCTTCCCTTTGCGGCGCTAGATAACGGCGCGAGCCGCGAGCGGCACTCGCGGGGCAAGGAGGTTGCTCGAAGAAACCGGGAGATGCGAAGAGAGAGGCTGCAGTTGCCATAGCGACGGAGGGACGCATACACGTGTCGTTCTCGTGCGCGCGTCTCTCCGCTGCGATGGTTGGAAACAACCACAACGACAGACCAATCGCAGGTCGAGGAGAAGTGTTCGCGCGCGTTGCATGCCGGCAGTGCGTACACACTATTGGCTCTCTCCTTTCCCCCTAACCTCTATTACAACGCTTCTCCTCCTCTCCAGTCGCGGGCCGGCTGCGTCTATCCCCAAACATGGCGTTGGTTTTGATCGTCGACGTAGATTGCGTGATGGAGGCTCATCGTTCCGCGTAAAAGCGCTACCCTTGACTGTGAATTTTCGTTGTGTGTCGTTATGATAACCCAGCACGTACTAGAAGGGAAGATCCACCTACTCGTGCGGCGATGTCGTGGCGGCACTCTCAAGACGGCAGAAACGCCCGTGTCGTCGTGTTTGTTTACTTTGACTAGAGTGGTGCTTTCTGTGTTTTCGAACATCGCCCGGATTTCTTATTTGGAGCATTTCATGCCTGTGCTCAAGTTGAAGGTATTACTGGCGCGTGCCGTATAAAGGATGCGAATTTTCACGCGTTTTCATCGCCGGAGAAAAGTGATTAGGGTTAGCAATCCTGAACGCTCGCAACGTCCGTCCGCAACCCGTGACGCTGTTAAAAGGCTGCGCCAGGCAAAAGTCGCTCATTTCTTTCAAAATGTGTGACACACTTGAGACAGAACTGTTCTAGTCTGGTGAAATAAAGACTTTCCTCAAACTAAGCTTTATTTTTCACCTAACATAAAGTAAATTCTTCTACAAACGTAAGTAGTCTCATGGCATGTATTTTGGCCTGAAAAATTGATGTTTTGGTTATAACGCGGTACCGCTTATAGTGCGGATTTTTGCGACTCCCGCGACATACGTTATATGCGGTCTACACTGTAGTAATGGGCAGGGCTAGAGTCACTGAATGTTCCCAGAGTACCGAAACTCCCAAGCTTCGTTTCAGAACCGAGTCGCAGCCAAGCAGTTGCGATCCCCAATATGGCGCTGCACTGTGCCGCTGAAGTGAAGTGCGTACAGTGGCGCTCATTCTCGTGCGAGCTCTTCAATCCACGTTTCTGGCCTGCGTCGACTATGGCTTGCTTTTATTAAAATTCTTTCCTTTGTTCTCAGCTGCGCGTGACTTGCTCTTTGCTATCTCGTCTCAGAGCTCGTAGACCAAGTTACGACCACAAAACGAGGATCTCGAAAAGCGCTTTATAGCCTCTTTGAGCCTCGCCGAGTGCGTGACCCCCGACACGATGCCCGCGACGTGTCTCCAACCGGCACGTTTGGAGTCCCATTCCACCTGTGCGTCCAATTGTAGCGAAGCGGCAACAAATGATGCAACAGAAGCCGGAGCGTCTCGCTGTCGGACATCGCGATCCCGGCAGTTGGATGTTGAAGTTTCACAAAAAAGCGAGAGAGATTGCGAGCGTCGCCGTTGCCGCAGAGTCCCAACTCCTGGCTGCCAACACTTCTGTACTCCGTCGAGCCGGAGAGTGACCCGCAGCAGAACCGGTGTCTGCTGTGTTCATCACCGCCACCATGCCGCCGCTGGGATCGTGGTCAACGACGACGCGACGTTTTTGCTACGTCGTCGGGTGGAAATCAAGGAACCACTTTCTTGGATGCGGTGAGCCAGCGGGAGACACGTTTCGGACACCATACTCCAGAGAGTTGATTGAAAGAGCACTCACGGTTGGTGGAGTCCTGGCCTTTCCTCTTGTAGACCAGCATGTAGGCGCCCGTCGAGTCGTGCGTCTCCTCCGCTTGCTTCCGCTTCTGCCCTGGTTGCTTGGCAGGGCCTGTTTCAACGTGAAACATGTTATAGGGCTGGCTCCAAACGTTTCTGATGCTAGAACGTTTTATGTATGCAACGCAATTGCCTAGCGATTCACCATACATTTTTAATGCGAAAGCATTAACTGTCCCATGGAGCGAGCCGATGTCATCAGTTTGAAGCGCAAAAACGGCACCTAGTTTCCCCGATCCCAAAGGTCCCATTGGCTGGCGCGCAGCGACGAGGCTCCCATTGGCCACTGCGTGTGTCTCTTTCAACGACCGCCGCCAGGTTGCGCTGCGTGTCCGTGCCGCCAAGCGCCAATAAAACTAACCGCCGCAACTTCAGGCCACTTCAGGCCCCGCGCCGGTTAAAACAAATACGTTGGTGCACGCTCGGAGGCCCCTGCTTGTCTCGCCACCGACCAACATGCCATCGCCTCCATCATCCACATTGTCAGCGGTGCGTCTGCTCGTCTCGCCACCGACGAACATGGCGTTGCCTCTAGCATCCATATAGTCGGACATTTATTCTTTCGAATTCACAACTCATAAGAAGTGCTTAGGTGTCTTCCGACTTCTTTTTTTCTGCCTCATCCTCATCCACCTCCACCTCCACCTCCCCCCCCACCATTTTCTATGTCCCGTTTTAGAGCGCAGCTCTTAGGGGCCCGTTCCCGGCTTGAGCGGCGTCACCGTCGGCGTTGGCGTTGCCGTCGGCGTAACCAAGGTCATTTCAAGGTCACTTGACCCCCAAGGTCACGTGACCCCTCCAGGTCACGTGGCCCCTCCCAAGGTCATCAAAGGTCACGTGACCCCCAAGGTCACGTGACATTGGGGGTCACGTGGTGTCATCTTGGGATCACGTGACCCCTCCCAAGGTCATCTCAAGGTCACGTGACCCCAAAACCCCACGTGACCCTTTGAAGGTCACGTGACCCCCAAGGTCACGTGACCCACAAGTCACGTGACCCCTCTGAGGTCACGTGACCCCTCTGAGGTCACGTGACCCCCCAGGTCACGTGGTCTCCTGCCCAAGGTCACGTGACCCCCGAGGTCACGTGACCCCTCCCAAGGTCATCTCAAGGTCACGTGACCCCTCCCAAGGTCATCTCAAGGTCACGTGACCCCAAGGTGACCCCACGTGACCCTCCAGGTCACGTGACCCCCCCGAGGTCACGTGACCCCTCCAGGTCACGTGACCCCCAAGGTCACGTGACCCCCGGAGGTCACGTGGGGGTCACGTGACCTTGAGGTGACCCCCATGTGACACCCAAGGTCACGTGACCCCCAGGTCACGCCTCCCCGAGGTCACGTGACCCCCCCCGGAGCATATTAAAGAATGAGGCAGGAGGAGGAGAAGGAGGAGGGGTCTACCCTCCCCTCAGTACCCTTCACTCCTCCTCCTCAAGAGCTGCGCTCCAATTCGGCGTTACAGGGAGTTGTAAACGGCTTTCACTTTTTTAGAGCGCAGCTCTTAGGGGCCCGTTCCCGGCTTGAGCGGCGTCGCCGTCGGCGTTGGCGTCGCCGTCGGCGTAACCAAGGTCATCCCAAGGTCACGTGACCCCCAAGGTCACGGACCCCTCCCAAGGTCATCTCAGGGTCACGTGACCCCGCGTGACCCCTCGAGGTCACGTGACCCCTTCTAAGGTCATCTCAAGGTCACGTGACCCCAAGATGACCCCACGTGACCCTTTGAAGGTCACGTGACCCCTCTGAGGTCACGTGACCCCCGAGGTCACGTGGTCTCCTCCCCAAGGTCACGTGACTCCTTCCAAGGTCACGTGACCCCAAGGTGACCCCCCAGGTCACGTGACCCCTCTGAGGTCACGTGACCTTGGGGGTCATGTGACCTTGAGGTGACCCCCAGGTCACGCCTCCCCGAGGTCACGTGACCCCCTCCCCGAAGTCACGTGACACCCCCCCCCCCCCCGAGGTCACGTGACCCCCCCCCCCCGGAGCATACTAAAGAATGAGGGGAGGAGGAGGAGAAGGGGGAGGGGTCTACCCTTAGTACCCTTCACTCCTCCTCCTCAAGAGCTGCGCTCCAATTCGGCGTTACAGGGATTTCTAAACGGCTTTCACTTTTTTAGAGCGCAGCTCTTAGGGGCCCGTTTCCGGCTTGAGCGGCGTCGCCGTCGGCGTCGCCGTCGGCGTAACCGCGCGGTGCATCATGGGAAATGTCCCATAATGCACCGCGCGAGCCCCCCTACCGGGGTCACGTGACCTCGTGGGGGGTCACGTGACTCCCCCCGAGGTCACGTGACTCCCCTGAGGTCACGTGACCCCCTCCTCGAGGTCACGTGACCCCCCGAGGTCACGTGACCCCCGCCGATGTCGCGTGACCCCCCGATGACGTCATCGTCACTGATGACGTCACCGGCATCCACATCGTCATCGTCATCATCACTGATGACGTCACCAGCATCCACATCGTCATCGTCATCATCACTGATGACGTCGCCGGCATCCACATCGTCATCGTCATCATCACTGATGACGTCACCGGCATCCGCATCGTCATCGTCATCATTACTGATGACGTCACCGGCATCCACATCGTCATCGTCATCATCACTGATGACGTCACCGGCATCCCCATCGTCATCGTCATCATCACTGATGACGTCACCGGCATCCACATCGTCATCGTCATCATCACTGATGACGTCACCGGCATCCACATCGTCATCGTCATCATCACTGATGACGTCACCGGCATCCGCATCGTCATCGTCATCATCACTGATGACGTCACCGGCATCCCCATCGTCATCGTCATCATCACTGATGTCACCGGCATCCACATCGTCATCGTCATCATCACTGATGACGTCACCGGCATCCACACTGTCATCGTCATCATCACTGATGACGTCACCGGCATCCACATCGTCATCATCACTGACGACGTCACCGGCATCCGCATCGTCATCGTCATCATCACTGATGACGTCATCAGTGACGTCACTGATGTCGTCACGTGACCCCCCCCCCCCTGGTTAGTTTACCCCCCCCCCCCCCGTGCCCTTCCCTCCTCCTCCTCAAGAGCTGCGCTCTAATTCGGCGTTACAGGGAGTTGTAAGCGGCTTTCATTTTTTACTCCGACGATCATGGTCACCTCACATACCGTAGAACACCGTGCATACGCCCAGTCCACATTAAGCGCCCATTACCAAATTTGTGAGATCTGAGACAATGCACACAGAACATTTATATGTAAAATTGATGACCGGACAAGCGCCCATCCCCTATTTTTTTTGCGATTATCTCCAAAGCTTGAGTGGGCGCTTGCCCGGTATTTTACGGTAGGTGTTTTACTGTACGTTTCACCAAAAAAACTGGCCATAATCATTACCGTTTCTAAAAAATAGTTTTCCTCAGAGGGTGAAGAGTTTACTTAATATAATTTTATGCATTCACAGTAAAAATAGCGCAAAAAAGACGGGACAAAAAGACGAAGAAACACACAGGAGAAGCGCTAACTGGCAACTAAAGTTTATTGAATGCTTCCAACTTCGTTATCGCCGTGCACGTGCGTAATCGCCCATCTCAAGAAAAATCCGCCATGCCACCAAATCAGTAGATATAACCCGCCCCCCGCCTGCTCAAAAGTTAGCAAAACAGCTATATCACCCCGCTGCACAACCCGAATGATGAAAGAAAAATGTGGCGTGTTAATATTTACAAACTAGATAGTGTTATTGAAGCTATACTCTTTGGGTTGCATATACACCGATGTCGCAAGCATGTACTTTTGCCGCCTCAAGTAACTCTCTTTCTAACCTTCCTTTGTTCCGTCCCTCCTCTTGCGCACCGTCCAGCATGGGGGAGCACCCACAAGTTTTACAATGCTCCGGCAAGTGAGAACCGTAATTGTTGCCAAGAGAAGCCGCAAGCTTCAAGCTCTTGTTTTGCCTAGCGTACCGTTAAGATGCAAGTATTCTCTCAGAATTCTGCTAGAAAAAATGCCAGGAAAGCATAAACTATGGTGTGAAAAAGATTTTTTTCTAAACACTTAACTTGGATAATGCCATGGTGAATTGAGCGACATAGCAACGATTGTGTGATTGGTCTCTAGTTCCAATGAAAAATGCCAGCATGTGGCCAGAATAGTGCTATTTTAAAGTCTTGTGCGCACACTAGGTACAAATCAATGAGTTGTTCATACAACTATACATTTCGCATTTCCGGGTTTTGCAACTTCGCCGTTGGCGTAACTGCGCTAAATTTAGAGGGAAAACTGACCTCGCGTGACCTCAACACCAATTCAGCTTCCCCATTAAATTTAGCGGGGAAAATGATGTCACATGACTTAGTGTCATGTCACCTATGAACAAATTCAGCTTCTCCACTAGATTTAGCGGGAAAATTGATGTCACGTGACCTCAACAGAAATTGAACAGCAGTGACCTAAACAGGATGGAACTGAATATCTGTTGTGGTCGCGTGGTGTCAATTTTTCAGCTAAATTTAGCTGAAAAACTGTGAGAGAAGGGGACTTGACTTACAATCATGTAATCACTGTAGTACGAGAAGTGTTTTCTGCGCTTTCGTTCTCGACACGTCACTGTTAACCAACTAACCGTCGACGCCGATCCCATGCATTCGGCAAACTCCACGGTCTCGGTACGTTGCCCGGATCGCACCACCAACTGGTGCGTCTACCCTGTCCCCAAAGTTGTCCCTCGATTTCCGCCCCACGACGTAACAAAAGTGTCGCGGCCAAGCCTACCACAATCCTGGTGGCGGCACGGCAGCGGAGGTGGATTCGGCAAATACCCGTTCCGCCACGGGTTGCTCTCCAGCTTGACAGTCCACTTGACAATCGGGAAGTGGCGACACTAGCATTCACTCTCACTTTCTGCCAAAACTCCTACATCCAATTGCCAGGAGCGCGACATCCCACAACAAGCCACGCCGGCACCGGCGACGTCGCTTGTTGCCACCGTGGAACCGCTTCCGATATGCAAGCGGGATTAGAGTCGCTGAACGTTTCCAGAGTATCGCATCCGATAGAGTCCGCCGTGACTGCTCTATTTCAGCTTTGATCAGACATTTTGGCGCCGAAACGTATAGGGAGGAAGGGGTTTCAGGGATGCCAACCCGTGTCTCCCAAGCGGATGTGCCGCAAATTACCACCCAAGTTAGGATGCGCTACCTGAAATCGCTGGTGAGACGTGGTCGTATAAAAACAATATTAATTCTGTCCCAAAACCTTGTAAACTAAGATTTTATAAAAATTTCACACTCCTGGCATTCTGTACTAATCTCCAATACAAGTTCCTACAATAACTTTTTTCATTTGTTTTTACACAAAAGTATGCTTTCTAAACACTCGTATAACCGTAGTAAAAAAAAAAAAAAATATTGAGCCGCCATCTTGACGTCATTGAGCCTGGGAGTTTGAGTACTCTGAGAACATTCAGTGACTCTAGGTGGTATGGGACGCCAAACGCACCGGTCGAAGAGGTGTTCCAAACGCGGTAGTCTTTGTCAAACTCTCACCAGAACTGGCGGCGGAGGCGACGTTTTCCTCCGAGCTCAGCTGGAGTAGGCTGCCGGGCATCTTGCAGACGTCCTCGTCGTTGAAGCTGAACCAGGCCCCTGACAGGCGGTCTTTGATGTGTGCCACATAGTGGCCAGAGTTTGCACTGGGGCCCTGGTGGTTCAGCACTGCCGCCAGGGAGTACTCTACCGTGCCCGCTGCAAGTCGTAGAAGATAGGTCTATTCTCCGTCCGCAACCACGACGACAATGGTGGTCGCGCACCAACTCGTTGAAAGCCTAGTATGCACCGAAAAAGTGTGCCGTGGAAGTACTACGACACTGGAAAGCCACGCATGCGTCATCTCAATTGACCCGGCTTACAAACAGCAAGAACATCCTGGTGCGACAATTACAGCAGAATTTATTTACAGCCGATTAAGTGTGAAACCAACCAGATCAAGAGTTCATCAAAGATGCTGCAATATTGGGATATAGGCTGGGAATCAGAAAAATGTGGCGATGGACCTGTTCATCAGTGCATAGTCAAAGCACATGATGTCGCACTATACCGTCACATGACATGATGTTATGCGACTCTGTGTCGCATGACATTGAGTGATGTCATGTGAGATCACCTGACACCACAACTTGACACCGTGTCATGTAATGTTTAATGTATTCTAAACAAATTTAAAAGGTCACTCGTTAAGAGGAGATGCAGGTCAAAGAACAAAAATATCTTGTAAAAAAGTTTGATGTTGGGTTTTCTGGTGTTTTATTACCTTTGGCATTCATATTTTATGTATAAAAATAAGAAGTGCCAGTTATGATTGTGAAATTAGTTATATATGCATTTGAAGACCTCCCGGCAACTCAGAATGGCGTAAATTCGAGCCATTTTTCTGCGCATAGTTCCTGGAATTGTGGATCAGCCGCCATCACATTTTAGTTTACAAGTAGGCCTAGCTGTCTCCTCTCCATCTCAGTCTTCTTTGGCTTCAACTTCTCACGGCAAATTATTAACAAAATATTATGTTTCCTGCCGCTAAGGAGTATCGATACACATCTATGGTGACATTAAAATGTGTTTTTCTCTTTATGTAATTTCGGGGCATCTTCACAGTTTACATGCAAGAATTTTTGTTTTAAATATTGTCCCATCACTACCAAATTTGTCATGCATATACTTTAGAATATATAAAGAATGCAACTATCTAGGTTTGGTTAGATTATATTTTTTGTTATATTTATGAAAAAATTAAGGAACTTTTGTTATCCCTTTAAAAAATCAGTTTTTGAAATTTTGAATAAAAAAACAATAAGTCTAGCACACCATAATTTTTTTGTTCATTCCACTTAGTAGATTAACAGGAGCAAATGAGTTTATATTTCTAGGGTCTTTTTAAATTAAACAAGTTGCCATGCCCCATGTGTGTGCCAACAGGGCCTTTTTTGCACATGCATTGCATCCAGAGCACAAAAACCAAGCTAATATTGAATACAACACCAGATTAATAAAGAGAAGACCAAGCACCATAAACTGTGACCATTTCAGTTAGGTATAAAAAATAATAGAATGAATGTTTTCACCTGGAGCACGTCCATTTAACTACGGCATTCTATGCATTACTTCAAGCGTGCGATAAAACAGCGCAGATAAAACAAAGACTGGCAGTGCGTTGCCGCTTACAACTGCGAGGGACGCGACTGAACCTGGGCTCCAAGGTCGAACAACATAAAAGCACGTACAGAGAGAGCGACGTAGTTCTCGGGCAGGTTTTCAAACGTCAAGGTGCCAAACTTTCGCTTCAAAGTGAGATAGAGAAACACGGCCACATAAAGGCGCAGATGCAGCCGAGACGCCGCAGAAACATTAGCAGAGATCCGAGAGGGCAGTGCTTCGCCATGCGACGTAACGCGGATGCTGTCGTCGGTGGTGCTGCCAACCGGATGCCAATGTGAAGAGGCGTACCGCACGCGCTTTAGGTGTCACCCACCCCCGGTAGAACCTCAAAATAAAGGTCGCCGCCAATCGCTCTCTGGGTAGTTAGGCCCATGTAGATTGGCTTTTGGTAAAACATCTCGGCAGGCTTAAATACTCCGCCGGTATCCTTAAACGAGCCTCCCCCCCTACAGGTGCAACCAGAGACATTGAATGTTCCCGGAGTACCAAATTCCATTCAGTCTGCTTACTGGAAGTCAATCCTGCAGACTGCAGTTCTGATTGGCTGGTTCATCCTGAGGCGGAAGTTATCAGTCGGCCATTTCGGGGATGGGCCCAAAACAACAAAACACGTATGTAAAACGTTTCTGCGTTACCACGGCTACGGCTGGTATGCACGGGAGGGAGCTCTGGGGATCGATGAGTTAAGACTGAACAAAAAGTGTGTTAATTTTTTTTTAACTTTTTTTTTTAAATTTTTTTTATTAACCCCTTAACTGGGGAGTGCGTCTTTAGACACGCATCAATGTTGATTGCAGATTGGGGGGGCGCGTCTATAGACGCGCTACACTTTCTTTGCTGTTAGGAAGCGCGTTTTTAAACCCTCGTTCAATTTAGCGTGTGGGTAGGATGCGTCATCTATCCTCGTGTATTGGAAACATTTTTAGTTTTAAAAATGATGCATACATGGCAGCACAAAAAAAGGTTGAAGACTCCTGTATGACACCTTTGACTGTTTGTTTGGAAAATGGAGTCCAGCAAACGCCAGCGGGTCCCTTGACCGACGAAGAAATCGCTGAGCTGCTGCAAAATACTTGCAAGGACAGCGACTGCGATGTTGATATCTCGAGTTTGATTATATGCTCCCCGGGATCCGAGACAAAAATTGAAGATGACACGGCGAAACAATTGTTTACGGAAACACCATAAACTTCGGGGTCTGTTGCAACCTGGCAAGATGCCAGCACAGTGAAAGATCCATTTCTGATTGTAGGAAGTGCCAAGGTGGACATCGAACTTGATATAAATAAATTTGTTTTAGGTTTCGAGATTACTGTTGAACCCTTGAGAGCTAAACACTTAAAAAAAGATTCTCCCTATTTTACAGATATCTTTGGTCAAAAAAATCCCCAGTTAAGGGGTTAAGTAGCTGTTAATTTGGTTTGCCAAAAAAGATTGCCGGCTCGCTTTTGTGCTCCAGTTGCACTTGTGCTGCGTTTCAAACTCTACGCCTCAGGCACTAAGCCTAACGCTCGACTTCGATGTGTTTCGAGGTGAGAGAGACAGACGAGACAGCAAGAAGCAAGTCATGCACCACTCGGAACGAAGGAAAGAATTTTAATAAAAACTTTCAGCCTTTCCACTCTGGTGAAGAAGGAAGACCATCGAAGCTGTACTATGGTGGGAATGAAGTAAAGGAGTGTCTACATCCACGCGTGGGGATGTAGCAAAGTCGGGAGGAGATAAGGCTCCATCCACGCACTACGTCACTTCCGGCGCACAACATCACTTCCTATGTGGGCGGAGGCAGTTCTCCAGGAATTCTGCCGCAAGAAGGGCTTCGTGTTCATCGGTGATCTCGTGGACGAGTGGCTTCTGTCCATCGGCTACTGTTTTATTTGTCATTGAATAAAATGTTTCTGGAATCTTTTACCCAGTTTCCTCGATTGAGTGTTCTCAGTATATTTGCTATTACTGGGACTAATGAATGTTTTCCCTTCTCTCACAATCTTTGTGAGATTGCGAGCGTGCGTGCAAGTCAAGAACGTACGGAGCGGTGGGCTCGCACTTGACCCCTTCGATGCCTTGAACCAAGCCAACCACACGCACGACGATGCCTCACCGCCTCGCCTCTGCAGCGATGCACACATTGGCGAAGGCCTCGGAGGCCGCACCCCAAGCCAACCAAGGCCGCACCATATGGCTGCACGGCCGCACGGCTGCACGCCCACACACACGGCTGTATGCCCACACACACAGCTGCACGACCACACGCATGGATGGCGCATGCATGCCGCGCACAAGTGTGTGACTCCTGGACAACATAACTATAAAGCAGGGTGTCGAACTGGAGCCGAACCGAACCGAAAACCGGAACCGAACCGGTATTTTTTCCGGAACTGAACCCGAACCGTTATATTGTTATCGCGATGAACCCGAACCGGAACTGAACCGGAAAAAAAAATAATGGTTACCGGCTCATGTCAAAACGGTTCGGCCACGCGCTGTTGACAATGAATGTGCTATCAATGCCATTTGTTTTTTAAGTGCCGTCAACTGAAACACACCTCGCTTACATATTTTTCTTCTCCACTCAGTCTTAGGAATATAAACACTGCATCCATGAATCTTGACAAACGCTGCATCCATGAATCTTGACATAGGAACCAGTATTGCGCTGGTCGCGGCTTGCACGGAAGAAAGAGAATTGGAAGGCTGTGCAAAAAAAAATCGCGTCACGGGATTTCATTTTCCTACAATCTCGTAAATCCTAAATGCTGCTGTGTGCTCATTTCATAACACGTTTCTAGAACGCGCGAGTTCTTGAAGCTTGCTTCTATCGGAATGAGAAAAGAAAAGGCTGTGGAGTTTGATAATAATGCATCCGGTTTCGTATAGGCACTTAGAAGCTAACATATTTGTGAGACAGCGAACTCTTCTATTTTAATATTTATCCTATTACGTCCTTCTGGCGTTGCGTTCGGTGATGTGTTTTTCATATTCCGTACCTTGTTTAATGAAAACTTCGTTAAGGGTCTAATTTGAGTTACCGAAGGCTAGTTCAAATAAAGAAAGCTGTATTTTCTCCCCACTTTTCCTTCAATTGCTTACACGCCGGGGGATCGGTGGCCGAGTGGGCTGAAGCGCACACCCAGCTTGACGCGCGTGGAGCGAAAGCTCGCGCTGCCGAACCCAGGGATCCTGGGTTCGAGCACCACCCCTGCCCGTTTCGATCTGGATGAGCATCGTACCAGCGTGCGGTCGTGTATCACTACTGCGTGGTGCACGTTAAAGACCCCAGGCTAGCGGTTGTACTGCACTGGCTAAATTGCTCATCTACAGTGTAAACCAGTGTCGCCCCTACTGGCAGACCAACCTTAAGCTGTATAAATCACTCAAACGTCCAATTTGACTTTGACTTTTTTGCTTACACGCCGAGGTGGCGGGATAGTTAGCGAGTTCTACTTGTAAGTGGGTTTGTAAGGAGGTCGCGGATTTTACAGCTACTGCGTCGGACCCAATTAGATGAAGTCCGAATGCGTAAACGTCTGTGAGGTAACCTTTGAGTGCACATAAAGAAACCATTCCTGGTAGAAATCCCTGAGCCTTACACTACGATGTATCCCGTTTCGTATGTGCTGATTTCAGATGTTTTATTTGTAATTTATTTTGATGTTGCAATTAGTCATTTATAATTTCCGAACCGGTTCGCGAACCGGTTCAGCACCCCAAACCGGTTCGCGAACCGGTTCGCGGATCGAATTAATCGAACCGGAACTGAACCGGAACAAAATAAATTTACCTGAACCTGAACCGTAACCGAACCCGTATTTTTTTCGGTTCGACACACTGCTATAAAGATATCTATAATACTATTTTTATGACGCATGATATTTGCTATTAGTCTTTGAAAACAGTAAAAGATTAATAAATTGTCTAAGAATTTGTAAGGTCACGTGACGTATTAACTTCAAAACAACAACAAAATATAACCTCTTTATTTTTATATCCTATATTACGTACATTATTACGTACATAAAAACAATTTATATCCTTATATTATAAGTCACGTGAACTTTTGCGTGGATGGAGCCTTATTTCCTCCCGATTTAGCTACGTCCCTGCGCGTGGATGTAGCCTCAACCATGAGGTAATGGCCGGCTGCAAGTCGGCAAGTCAGAGTGGAAAGGCTGGAAAGGTTGCCGGCATCTATAAGCAATGGCGGCAACCAGACAACTAGCAAGCCAGTTGTCTGGTTGCTGCCGTTGCTAATAGATGGCAGTAGCTGTCCAGAGCTTTGTGTCGAGATTTGTTAGCCCACGACCACAATGCTGGGGAAACTAGCCCTTAACAGTTCCACTGTAAAAACAAACCAGTGTCGGCACAGGCCAGGAAAGTGGATTGGAGGTCTTATCTTAAAGGCCGACGTACACTTCTCGCTTTCCACTTTTGCCTGCCCCCTCTTTCCCTATATCCTCTCCACCATTTACCTTGCCCCAAGTTGCCTCCCCTCGTGGCTTAGGGGAGGACAGCGCTATGGGGGTTATCTTCCCTGCAGAAAACCGAGGTTGTACGTCGGCCTTTAAGGTAACAGCGCAAGATCAATCACACAACACGACACACAGAAGAACAAACACGTGCGCTTTACCTTAAGATATGAATCACCAACTCGCCCAAGTTTGCATTTTTTCACTGATTGAAGAGCTCGCACAAGAACAAACGCACTTTGCTAGGACCGCACAGGGCAGCGCCATATTGGGAATACGTTGGAGCGCGACTGCTGCCTCGCGACTCGGCTCTGAAATCAGGCTTGGGAGTTTCGGCACTCTGGGAACACGCAGTGACTCTAGGTGCAACGATGTGGCTGACGACCCAGCCAGGGCACACGACAGTGTGCGGAGATTCTGCTGTAAGAGTAAAGGCTCTGCTGCGTTCTCAATCGAGTCAGACAGGACGTGGTGAAACTCGGCGCATGGTTTTGCTCACCTGGCTTTTTCAGGTGGCTGCTGAGGTCAAGGTGCTCGGGGAAACGCAGGGAGGATTTGATCTTCTTCTTGCAGCCTGTGGCACGGTCGAAGACGAAGCGCAGCAGCTGAAGATTGAGGACCGGCGGGAGGCGCTGCAACTGAATGCGCCGGACCGCATTGCGCATGCCCCCGCACACCTCGCAGTGGTACTGGTTGCTGCCTTCCAGTCGCTCCTCCTGCGTACGCAGGCGGGACTCGTAAGTAGGGTCCCTTGTTTTCAGAGCCTATTTTAGCGCTGAATGTGTTTCGTAAGTCGATTTTCTACAAGAAAATTGTCGCAAACGAGCATCATAATGTGCGCCAAAACAAGTGACAAGCCAGGAGTGTTATGGACGTCAGGGTCACACAAAAATTTACATATAAAGTTTGAGCCCTGGTGGGGCTCGAACCCAGGTCGGTGCAGTTGCAGTCGGATATTATAGCCATTGTGCTACCAGCACAACTGGTCTGGAAGAGTAAACTCTTTTATTTAAAAGCAAATGTGCCGGCAAGAGCGGCAGGTTTTGGATAATAAAATAAAATAAATAAAAATAAATGGAAAAATAAAATGATTAGGAAAATAAATAACAATGAAAAAATATATAATAAAAATAATTAAAAATCCAGCACAAACCACACACGGACTGTGATTTGTGGGAGACAGATTTTCTGCTCCCTGGTCTTTGTCAGACACATCGAGCCTGTATGATCTCCACTAAATTTGGGGAGGGGGGGGGGGGGGGTGTTTCTTGCAATTTAGTTTTTTCCAGAGATTTTGTTTCCTGGAGTCGGACAACTATTGGCGTTAATCGGGAAGCTTACGTTGAAGAAACCAGAACATAGGCGTTGGGGATTCCACAACCTCTGGAAAGCATATCTGTGACCCGAATACTGAAAGAATGTCTTGACAGAGATTAAAAAAAGATAAGGAGCGTGGTTCTTGAAGAAAGAACCAGCCTCCTGGACAGTTTGGTTACAGGCTGCATTTGGAGTCGGCACAAAATTACGCTGTAGATGAAGGCTCCTTTCCGTGAAGTGCGAGTATTTCTTTTTATAATGCAATTAAATGCAAAGGTGCAAGCGAGCTGGACAAGAATGATGAAAATAATCCCTGGAGAAGGGGAACAAGAGGTTTTCCTCCCATTTTGATGAAACCTGCTTGAGAGCTACTTTTCGAGGTTTAGTGGCATACTCTGAAGATGGGAAACCCCACTCGTATATACCTCCAAGTAAGCTCCCTGCATGTGTAATGCAATAGATTGATCTCACTTTGATGATTATAAGTCACAAAGGCCACTTCCCACAGATTTTAGAATACTGAATTATCTGATCTTGACATCCTTCTCAAACACTGAGCACATGCTACATGTATAGTTTAGTGTGCGCATTTGCCCTCACGACTTGATGCAGCATCGAATGTGTAGCGTGCAATGTGCGAGTGTAACGGAGCTGTTTTCTAAAATTGTACACCATAAAATCCCATACGAATGCCCTTTTCCAAGAGATTGCCCATCTCATTTCTTTGGCTAATCGTCCACGGGCTCAAGATTCCGAAACATCGCCCACCCCCGATTGCCGATGGATCAATCGCACGATCTGCGATATCGGCAAGTGTGAGAGGCAAGCTCGGAGCAGCTTTCCGCACGTTTATTGCACCATGGAACCAGAATTTGACATGTCTAGGAGCTGCGTGCGTAATATTGGTTCCTGTGACGTGTGAATTCGTAGCTGGCTTTTACGTGTTTATCGCACCATGAAACGTGCGAATCTGCTACATCCACAACCTGTGGTATCACTCCCGCGTGTCTGTTTCACCGTGGAATGCGAACTGCGATATCAGTTCCCGCACCTTGTGGTTTATAGCAGGTGATGCCGTGGTGTTTATCTATCATTTTTAATAAACCTTTTAGGGGCGAAGCTACTTAGGGTCTAGCCTTGTCCGTCCGGCGTCCATGCTCACATCGATCTCGCTGGTGCTCGTGCTCGTGAGCTCACATGCTCGTGTAAAGCAAAAAATAAAAAAAATGAAAAAAAAAAATGTTTGCGCAGTCGACAGGATTCGAACCTTAACCACTCGGCCACGACTGCGGGACGAGTAGGGGGCTCTGAGATGTGGTAGCAACTCAAGAGCTGGGGATGTCGTGGATGAAACGTTGCATGTAGCCGCTCAACATCTATACAGGAGAGGGCACTGTGGTCAAATGCGTATATAATCGCGTTAAACTTTGCATGCATTGGCTCAACGTTTATAGGCGAGAGGGCGCTGCGGTCAAATGCTCAAATGCGTATATAACCACGTTTCATACCACACATTCTCTTTCTGACAGGGATGAAAACGAACGAAAGGCTCGGCATGCTGCGGCTCAGCGTCTACGCAGACAAGCACCATCAGAGCTTCACCCCAATCAACATCATTCACCATGTGGAGATGCGGTCAATTTCTTTTTTTCGGTCTTATTCCCAGATATTTGTCCCAATTTATCTCTTCGAAATGGGTGGGCATTCGTACAAGATCTTACAGTAATGACGTTTTGCCAAAACGGTTTTATACATATATTCTGTTCTAAGTGCTGACACTGCTTTTTATATGATTTGCCTGTACTGACTATTAATGTGACAGCGTTAAGGAGCTCGTGTCGCAGAAAATCCGGCGCCAGCGTCAACATTGGTGTTGGCGTCAGCATCGGTGGGATCGGAAAATCCTGATTAGTCAAAAGGGTCATGATATCACAGCCAAACAACCTCGTGCGGGAATTTAAGCCAGCCCACAACACCCACATAGAATGCGACTTCACACCTGGAATGTAAGTGATTAAAACATGACATGTAATGCGAAATAAAGGTCGCTGCATGTCTCAAATGATTTCACTTTATGAAGTACTGTAAAATACCGGGCAAGCGCCCACTCAAACTTTGGAGATAATCACAAAAAAATGGGGGATGAGCGCTTGTCCAATCATCAATTTTACATATAAATGTACTGTGCATATTTTCTCAGATCTTACAAATTTGAGAATGGGCGCTTAATGTGGAATGGGCGGATGCGCGGTATTCTACGATAATTCATTTGCCTTAAAGAAAAAATATGAAGAATTTTAGCAAAGGCGCTTGTTCCCTCTTTTTCCCGACCTCGGGCCTGGTAGATAAAAGCGATGAAGAGTGCAAGGGTGTGATTTAAGCTCGGTCAGCATAATCGCTAGGATTTTTGAAGCTCCCAGAGATGCCGTACCTCTCGAGCACGTAAAACAATCCTTCGAATCAACCGGTCCCAGAGACTTGGAATTACCGCAAATTTTTTCCCCGTAGACCCGTACGTGTAGTTGCCGGGGCCGCACCTCCGCTTCGAACTAACCAAAAAATTTTATTCAAACTGCTTCAAACTACCGAGGCTCAACGGTAGAAGACAAATGAACCGGAGTTGTAAGTCGGCATCCTTTGCTCGTCTCCCCAACGCGTCTTCATCCTTTTGTGCTGCCGCTTCCTACTACAAATCACCGACTCCCTCCAGCCTCTGTCTTAACAGATGTCCGGAAAAACTGCGCGCTCGATAAACGGTACGGTGCCCACAAGGGTGTCTCTGTTTGGCGCGTCTATTGCGTTCTAAAACAAGGTTTCCCAATTTCCACCCGACGATGTTACAAAAGCATCGTGTCATCGCTGCTCGGGGCCCCCGGTGGCATTGCGTCGGCAGTGGCAGACGCAATAGGCACTCTGTTCTGCCGCAGGTTGCTCTCCAGCTTGACAGTCCACAAAAGCTTCGGCGGTCGGGAGTTGGAACACCGCGACGACGGCAACACCCCCCTCCCTCGTGCTTTTTCTTGCGAAACTTGGATGCCCCCGAATCGTGACGTCCGACAGCACGACGCTCCGGCTCTTGCGACGCTGTTCATTGTCACTCCGGGGTCGCCTTCGACGCGTGGGCCAAATGGGACGCCGAACGCATAGGCTGGAGGCACGTTACCCTAATTAATGAATAAACTCACCTGAAGAAACTCACTGAGTGCCTGCTCGAGAACCTTGTGGCCCTTGATGTTCAAGTCGAGCTCGTAGAATTCCGAGGCGCAGAGGGACTCCGTACTGCACTCCAGGCACCTAGGAGGGGGAGACACGTTGACGACAAACCCGTTTTCGAAAGCCCGCCGAGCAACGTTGGCAGTCGTTGTTCCTCGGCGTTACAACAGGAGGGAAGCAAACTGACTTAGAAAACCGAAGGGACGAGTCATACTTTTGATTTTTAGTTTCTAGGCTAGGTGGCGCAAGCTGCCGCCCAATATGACGGGTACAGCTGTAGCATTGTCCATCCATCCATTTGTTCGGCACAAAACGCGCGATCGGATCCGAGCCCTCGCCGGACGCCGGCGCAGTACTCCTTTTCGCTACGAGCCAAGCTGAGTTCGAGCCGGACGATGTCGCGGCCCCCATGTCCGACAGGCGCTCGGAGCACGTGCCCAAATGATGGCAGAAACGGATAATTGGCGCATCGGCTTTCCCAAAATGTGTTCCGCAAATTCCGAAGTTGGTTATACAGACGCGTAGCTTCAAGATTTCACTGTACAGAGCGCTAGTGTTCGGCACCTTGTGGGAGTCAAGGGTGCAGGGGTCAGAACTGACATAAGCCTAGCATCATCTGGAAACATTTTACATCAAGAAAAAAGCTCAAAGGAGAGAATTATTTCAAGAGATTTGTGCAGATTACCGAATTTAAGAATCCGAATGCGAGTGCTGCATCAGAAGCACCCAGACTGACGAGGAATGCTTTGAGTAAGGTGATGTGTCACTGTGATCTAGATGCATCACATTCCGAGTTGCCTTCTATTGCGTCTCAAAACAAGGATGGCGTGCCGCCCTCTTTGAGGCAGGTTATATCATGTCTCCGATATTTCGGATAATGGTGTCACAAATATGAATAAGATCTATTTAGTTGAAAAAGGGGGAGCCTGAGGCTGTAAAGCCCCGCCCCGTGCTTAGAACTCTCAATGGCTGGAGAGATGACCGACGTGTGAATTATCGGTTGCAAAATTGTATCTCCATGCCGTAATAATATTTCAGTCTACAATTTTTCGATGTCTGAGAAACAAATAAATTATAATCTAGATAGAGTCATAATTGTTTTCAAAAGTATCCCAAGATTGCCTTTTCCGCATTGGTGTGAAAAAATAACAAACATGTGTGCCGGCGTCTGCGGGGTCTTCATCAAGTGCAGTCCGTCGAGCTTGTCTATTGTTATGAGCGCGAGTTGTTTTGCCTTCACCGAGGTGTTTAGATGATGATCTCCTCGACCAACACGGTTTGCAAGAAACAACTGTCGCAAGTATGCACCTTCGAAAGCGCTGTGTGGGTGCATGTTTTCGTAGTGGTAGAGGCCAAAGTCTAGCATCCCACATCAACTACGTTGCTTGATCTCGCTTGATTTGTTCGTTTGCACGTGTAGATGCTAAATGAAGATGTTGGTTCCTGAAAAAGCAGCCGCTACTCTGTAAATTGTGCAACTGTCGTGATTGCAAGCATGGTTTCAATACCGAGAAGATACCTAAACAGGTTAGAATCTGTGAGCCATTTGGTTGGAGGCAAGTGGGAGTTTGGCTCGCATCAAGTTTGTGTAGGCATGTTTCCGTCATTTTGCCTCGAAAGGCAAAGAGCTCTAAAGTTTTGCAGTGCATCTGGCCTGCCAAAGCAAATATTTTTATGTCATGTTTTAATTGTGCGTCATGGTGCTCTCCCACCTTGCTCAAAGATGTAATGTGAGAGAAAAAAAAAAAAATAACAAGAACAGTAAAGCTAGGACTGCATATTTATTTTGCTGATTTTCTTAGTTCTCTCGGTTGCTTATTACCGCACATCGACACATGCTCACAGGCGCTTGTTTTGAACCGTGGCTCGGACATGATGGAATGCTAGAACGCCACTTTTATCGTCGCATCTTGCGAGTGTTGCAGTTTTTGCACGGGGGCAGAATAGCAGACAGACGATGGTGAAAACAGATGTTGACGTGCAGCTTTCATGTTCACGTCTTGCAGGCATTGCAGACGACGATAGACGGTAGTGAAATAGTAGACGATGCCAGAGGCTGCCGCATGTCTCTTCGCACGACTAGCAGGCGGTGTCAGGTACCAGACGACCAACCAGACGCACTGGATGTCATGAAAGGGAAACACTAGGCTTCCGAGCCTGTTCGGCTGAGCAGCCAAGCCAATCCAGAAGTAATGAGCAGGACCACTAATCTGTGGATGGGGCTGAGGGCCGTGACCTCCCCCTTAATTGCCTCGAACAATGTAATTATTGTGCAATATTTAAATAAAAAAAAAAAGGTTTTATAAAACTTTTTTTCCTTTGTGTTTTTATTACTTTTTGAAAATGAACACAAAGAGTGACTTGTTTTAACAATGCACATTGGGTTGTTATTATTTTTCAGACATTGTATTTGAATTCAAACAAATGTGCCGGTCAGAGACGCACAGGATTGGTTTCCGCTGTAACGCCAGAAACTAAAACTACTCCCTCGGTTTCCGCGCGTAGGTATGTCTCGTAGACTGCGTAGCTACCTCCGCCCCCCGGGGGTTGGCTCTGGACATCGCTCAAACAAGTGGCAGCTGTCAATATCGCGATGACGTTATGGCCTCATAGAGGGCAGAGCCGCACTGCGCGTGTTGCTAGGATATGTTCACCCCTTCCCTTACGTCCCTTCCATTACCTTTCTCTCGAATGTCCAACCTGGCGATCCAGAAATCCCTGGGGATCGAGCCCAGGGATGATCCCAAAGACCTGCAGCACGAGCTTTCACTCCACGTGCCAGGAACTGAATATGTCTGAACCGATTATGTGTATAGGTCGGAACGTTTTCTCCAATTTTCTGTAGGAGCGTCTTATTAAAGGATGTGGCTTATATGCATTTTTTCTTCCATTTGTATGAACCTTAACTTAAACATTTCTTACAAAGGAGGGACGGCAGAGCGCCTGCCGGTGGCCTGCATTTCTGACGGTTCGAAGCCTGGCGGCAAAAGTCGCGGCTGCGGTGACTCCGCCGACGGTAAAAAGTGGTTCGACTTCCACAAAGCTGTGACTCATTTGCCAACTCTTTTCGTGAAAATTGCTGTTTGTATGGGGGGTGTGACTCATACAACGGTGTGACAGAAAATATGATAGTTAAGGACAAAATTAGAATATAAGCTTCGATCAGACGCACCACAAACAGCCGTAGATGGTTCAAAAATTATAATTAATCGCTTTTTCTGCCATCAATATTATACAGCCACACATCCCTCCATTCAGGCTCATCCATATCCTTTTTAAAGTAGTGCTCTTTTCCCTTTTTCCCGTTTCTAAGCTTGTTTTAGCAATATGATGGCCACAGAATAGAGCCGCCAAGTCCTCTGTTAGCATGCTATCGGAATAGAAAGTTTTAGTAAACTGCTCCCATAACTCCAATACTGTACATGATGCTCTGCCGGTGCCTTTGCGCAGCACCGTTTAGTTATCGGGGTGCAAAAAAGATCTACTAAAACTCCCTAATATCAAAAACAGTGCAGACGAAACCAGTAAAACAAATTTCGCTTAGTTCAAAGCCCGAAAAACATTGGGTATGGGGTGTGGTGCAAGCTCACTTGGTGACGTAGTTGTACTGCCCAGAGTACTGCTGCTGTACCACGCAGCGCACATTCTCCACTTCCTGGAAGGAGAGCCGGTTCTCCACCAGGGAGATGAACAACTTGCTGAATTCCTGGGCGTCCTGGGGTGGAACGGTTTGTGCAAACGCAAAATTACCTATATGCTTTGGAATTTATTCATGCCTAGTCAGGCATTCAGAGGGCATTATACAAAGAAAAAAGAAGGTCATACAAATCAGAAAAAGAAAAAGCAAACCTACCGTAAAATCGCGAAAGATAATCCACCCTTGTTTTTGACACGATTTGCCGTTTTTTTTTTTTTAAAAACACCAAAAGACAGCACGTTTCTAGTAATTGCAGGGCACTGGCCAATGGCTACCTTGGCAGAAATGCCGTTACTTAGCCTAGACGGGAGATCAGTGAATATTGCCAACTGGGAAGGAGAGTCGTCTTTGGTTCATTGTTCCTCCCTGCAGTTACAAGTTTTGCAGGTCACAAAATCTAAAATTAGCATTTTTTCAAATTTTCTAGATTGCACACCGAAAGTTAGCTTACTCCTTTTTGTCACCCCATTTGCTTTAGATTTTATCTCTAAATATTACGGTAAATAACTAAAAAAAAAAAGATTAGCCTAACATGAAAACGAAATTGAGACGCCACACTCTAGGATTCATTGTAATTAGGGCTGTCGCCAACTTTTGTAGAACCAGAGGCTCGACGTCGACTCTTGAGGCTAGACTGGTTCGGCAAACTTTCAAACGTTTCGCAATACTTGACGAAGCTCAACTTTTAAACAGTGTCACCCAACTTCTTCACAAAAATATCAAATTAAAATTTTGATACTACACTAGATTGTTTTCCAATTTACACAATATAAAAGCAAACACAAACTAGTAACAATTTAGTTGGTTTGTCGTTTTTAGCTCATTTTCAATTTCCACGCATGCACACGCTGCTCGAATTTTCGTAAAACTTTTGTCGATATTTGCAGTAAAAGTTAGAAAAAGTCTAACCTGGTCATACTTGAACCTCGACACGTACACAACATCCCCAAATTGTAATCAAGAAAAGAAAAAAAAGACAACCTCTATCATAAGATATGAACTATAAACTTAAAGGAAACCATCCCCTTCATATGTTCTCAGTCATGAAAAAAATGTACAACAGCTAGGAGAACAGGAAAGGCTGGGCCTTTGGCGGCGTCGGTAATGTCAGAAACGGAGTTGGGATGGTCGGTCTAGCCAAGATCTTAATAGTCTCTTGTAATAGACTCTCGCAATGCCGAAGTGTTTGCAGGGATAGCCTGACAGCATTGAGCTGCACTCCTGGATATGACATTGGCATGAGGCTGAACTGATGATAATTAGGAGTTTATTGGCATAGCAGCAACAAGGGCTACAGTGCACCAAACTAAGCGTAATTGGGATATAATAACGAAAACTACTTCAAATCTACAAAGTAATGAATCATATATACATCAAGCTTGTTTCCAAAAGTCTAAAACACGGCTGAGCAGAACTAAAGGTTTATTGCCAAGCAAAAACGAGGGGTGAAATGGAAGGTGATTTTTAAAAAAATTCTCCGGGAAACATGCTTGACGTAGTGAATGATGAGACGAACAATGCCATAAAATGTGTAAAATGGTCAAAAGCTCACCACAATAGTCACATAGTGTAAAATCTTCATTGCGAAGCAGATATTGATGTGTCAATCAAGAGTGACCTATTCTTAGATGGCACAGGAAAACCTCCATGCGACATTTTCTGTTATAAGAGCTCTCCGAAATGCCTAGAGCGGGCTTGATAATGTGGATTTTGTTGTTGCTCTCTGTATCCCATTCCAGCTGATATGTGTGAAAAATAGATTTCCTCCAAAGAGGGGCTCACACACTTGCGACTTCTTAAGACGGAATGCCTTGAAACCCTTTATAGCTCTTATGACGACAGGACACACTGGCACCATCTTTTGGGTAGCAGTGGAACCTTGGCGGTCCCGCATAATTTATATTTCTCTAGTACATTATTCTTCCTTTCTTGGCTAGAAAAACTTTTGTAAACATTATAAACAACCATTTCTCATAGGTAGTACACACACTTGACCTCGGAAATCCCGCAAAACCTTCGCTCTTGTGAAATACAGTTCAACGGTCACCGGAATAGATGGCGCCGGTGTGCCCGTGTGTTCCCTCTTCCTAAGAAATGTTAAGAGGTTTCAAGGCACTCCGTTCTAAGAAGTCGCAAGTGTGTGAACGGGCCTTTAGCCATTGGATATTGTTGATGATGCTCGCACTGACACGGCCAATTTATCTGCCTTTTCATTGCCCACGATCCCAACGTAACTCGGCACCCAGCAAAACTTTGTCCCAACCGCATCGGAGGGCCCTGTTGATTTGAACTTCCAGATATTGTGCAAGGAGATTCTTTGTAGGCATCAGGGAGGACACAGCCAGTAAGGCACTTTGTCAATCAACAAACATAACAGCTTTCATTACACTGTTGTCGAATATATGTTCGATAACTAGTAAAATATCGTAGGGCTCTGCAGTGAATATGCTTGCCCTACAGTCAACTTGTATGGCTTTCCTTCATGAAGTAGAATGGAGAGCACATCCTACAAAAGATGACGATTTGGATCCATCTGTATGGAACTCCAAGTAGTCTGCATATTTCTGTTGCAGGGAGAGGAACATCTGCTGGAGGATTTGTAGTGAAATGACCGTCTTACTATATTTACCAAGTGACCAGCCACAGAAAATCGGCAGAGCATCCAATAGAGCAACTCTATCAGTGTTTTTAAGCAAGGCAACCTCATGAAGGGGGATATTAAAAGATTGGCAAGTACTCTGCACAAAAAAGCTTAATCGTCGAACAATGCTTGGCTTGTTTTCAAAAAGTTTCAAACTTCCGCAAGTTCGCAACTTTGCAATGCAAAATACTTTGTAAGCATAAGAGGCGCTGAGGTACTGCCTCCGTTTCTCAAGAAACATTTGATGCATGTCAGCATATGAACTCCTCACAAGAGACATGCGAAAAGGGGCTGTGACAAGTTGAAGTCCGAGGTGATGTATTGGATCCAGCACCTTAAAAGCAGATGGCCGTGCCGACCCATATACAACTTCACCATAGTCGAGGCGGGATAGAACTAAGGAGTTGTACAGTCGTAGGAGACAGCATTTATCAGACTCCAATGACATATTCGACAGCACCTTAAGTATGTTTGATGATGTCAAGCATTTTCGTTTCAACACCTTTAGATGAGGTGCAAAGGTAAGCTTCTTGTCAAATATCACACCTAAAAATGTGTGTTCTTGCTGGACCGATATTTCAATGTTATTAAGATGAAGGGAACGATCCAAGACAATCCCCAGCGCAACAAAAAAGGGATCCAGACTGTTTTTAGAGTGAAACTTTTAAGCGCCTGCTTCCGGGTTGAGCGGCATCGGCGTCAGGATAACAGCACATTGCGTTATAGGACGTTTTCCTGCTAAAGTTAGCAAGGAAATTTTCCTGCTAAATTTAGTGGGAAAAATTTTACGTGGGAAACTTTTTTTGCTAAATTTAGCGGGGGCATCATTTTTCTGCTAAATTTAGCAGGGAATGTTTCCGCTAAATTTAGCAGAAAATTTTCCACCTAAATTAGTAGCAGGGAAATTTCCCCACTAAATTTAGTGAAAAAATTTCCCCGCTAAATTTAACGGAAAAATTTTCCATATAACTTTAGCCCAGTGTTCCCGCCATGGAGAATAGAAGGGTAGGAGAGGGCATGACGTCAGCCGCGTAGCCTCCACAAGCCATGCTCCCTTGACGCCTCGCCTCTTTCGCATTTTCCTCCTTACTCTCACCACATCACGCGACCGTAGCTAGCCTTCGTCTAGCTATGGTGTACTAGAATACACCACAGCCTAGCCTTCGATCTGATAAAACCTACCGGACGGAGCGCGCACAAGCCTGCAAGGAATCCTCCTACAATCAACCATCCATCTCGCACGTGACATGTCACGCGCACCAATCGCCAGACAGATCTGTGGTCACGCTGGGCACAAAATCGCTTAAACTTTTTATGACTAGGCTTCACCAATATTGCAACGTGCCCCCTCCTAGTACTTCTAACCTCCTTGGTTCCCGCACTGCCACTTCGGTCTTTCCCTCGCCAAGCGGCGAAAATTCCCATTTTTTCCCACAACACAATTTTGGGGACAGAAGTCGTTCTTAAGATACGCATGACGCCAAGTATATTTAAATGCAACACCTCGCTATGTTTTTGTTTTGAAGAAGTTTTCACCGCACAAATTACGAAATGTAGAAGTTGACATTTGGCCAACTATTCTTCCCTCCCCATCTTTTCTACACTATACATTGGTTGAATAAACCAGGGGAAATAAATGAAGGTAAGAGGGCCATTAACTAAACTAAACTGAAATCCCCTGCTCGTTTTCGTGATGTGAAAGGGATCACACCCACTGTGCAATCCATGATGTATTGCACTGACAGAGGACGTGTGTAGTAGCTAGCAGTGAGGAAAGCACGCGAACAGGCAGTAGTGTACCGGCAGGCTTGCAGCACGCACATGATGTAAGTCGTGATGAGTTAGATTGGCTCTTCAAAACAGGAAACTGTCCGACTAGCTAGTGCCACTCCCTTTCTCTTGTTCGATGTAGATAATAAAATTATGAAATTTCGGTTTAGTTTGTTTATTAAAAAATATTTCACACGTTTTACATGTGTCTAAATACTGGTTTCCCTTTTTACCTAACTGTCATGCTTTTTCCCACAATATGGGAAATTTCCCACGATTTGCCAACACTGCTTTAGCAGGTTAAGTTTCCCCAATAAATTTAGCAAGGAAATTGACGTCACGTGACCTCAACACCAATTCAGTTTCCCCGCTAAATTTAGCGGGGAAAATGACGTCACGACTTCGTGCCACATCACCCCTGAACAAATTCAGCGGCAGGAGGAGAGGAGGAGGAAAGGAGGAAGAGGAGAGAAAAAGGCAGAGGAGGATGAGGAGGAGGGGAAGAGCAGGGGAGAGGAGGAGAAGGAGAGGAGCAGGGGAGAGCAAAAGGAGGAGAGTAGGTGGAGGAGCAGAGGAGGAGGAGGGTATGGAGGAGGAGGCGGGGCATACTTTCCCCTCCTCCTCAAGAGCTGCACTCTATTTCGCATTACAGAGATTTGTAAATGTCTGTCATTTTTCAGGAGAAAATTTGAAATCATTTTCATCTGCCTACCTACACAACCTATTGACTGTAAGTTGCAACTGCCATTCACAACTGGGGAGGTTACAGGAAGACACTGATATCTGCACATCATCTGCATATAAAGAGTAAGATACTGATGATGGCATAACCTTTGCTAGACTGTTATCTTAACAGCAAAGAGGCGGACGCTCAAACTCCTCCTTGAGGGACACCATTTGCTCGAGAGAAATTATCTGACAGTGTAGAGCATAATCGGACATGAAACATTCTTTTGCTGAAAAAGCTCTGTATACACTGAAGCTTGCAGCTTTGCGCACCACAGTAGTACAAGTCACGAGGGATTCTGTACATCCAAGTGGTATCATTCGCTTTTTGTAAATGAAAAAACACTGAAACACAATGCTGTCGGCGTACAGATGCCTCACGCATAGAAGTTTATAAGCAAACCAAATGATCTGTGGTCGTCCGTCCCTCGCGAAAGTCACCCTGGCAGGGATGGGCAAAATACATGCAAATATGTATCGAAATAGAAATACAAAATACTTCATCAGAAATGTATTTAATTACAAATCTAATTACATTTCCAAAAAAGCATTTAAGTACAAGATATAAATACAACCAAATGTATTTGATCCCCACTAAATACTTTTCCAAATACATTCCTCAAAATTTGCATCAGCGACTTCAGGGCACCTGCAATGGGTTTCTGGGTATCTCCTTTTAATTCTGCATCACACACTCGAGAGTTAGTGTGCGAGGCTCCAGTAACGTAATAGAAATATAATCACAAAAAGATGTAATCAGCTTGGACGAAATAGGTGAAAAACGTACAGAGCTTCAAGCAGCTTTTTTTGTCGATTACATTTTGGTATAGACCACAGGTGGCCAGGCTGACCCGGCCTAAGAGCTGCAAACCAAACCACAAAACTTCCGAGAGTCGCGGGGGGGGGGGGGGCCCAGGCAAACTTTTATCCAGCGCAATAATCGAAACTCTAATCTCAATCTACGCGAGTCGAAAGCAGTTCAACTCTACGTAAAATAGGAGTAGCACAAGACTACCAAACCGCAACCTGCCTTTCGATTTAAAACGCAGTCCATTTCTCGTTCTGGAGAAAAGGGGGGGGAGCCGCGAGCCGCACTTTAACACGCGAAGAGCCGCATGCGGCTCCCGAGCCGCAGTTTTGCGGCTCCCGAGCCGCAGTTTGGCCACCCCTGGTATAGACCAACAAAGAACCGAGACGACCAAGACGTGCAGCACTAGCTAGAGAACATTTTATTGTTGCAACTCGCACCAGTTACGAAAATCTGGATGACCCGCGCATTTAGAATGTTCCAGGCAAAAATATAGATGGAAATCAGGCTGGAAAGCATCACAAGCTGTCACAGGCACTTATTTAGCCAGTCTGCCTGTGAACGTCGATTTTGTCATTATTCTTGCCCTGGACTAGCACTGTAATCACAAAGTCACTAAACACTTGTGCTTGATTGAAAGACACCGCATTCGGTGCAGAACATAGTTTTCTTCCTGCTCTGGACAGTGACAATAAATTTAAGGAATGTATTTTCGCCCACAAAATTGTATTTAATTACAATTGTATTTGAAATATCCACCTTTTAGTATTTAAATACACACGTCAAATACATTACCCAATTTGTAATTAAATACAAATGCAAAATACACAAAGTATTTGAAATACGTATTTCAAATACTTGTATCTGAAATACTGCCCATCCCTGCACCCCAGTTTACACAAAAAACATTTTCGGTGTCCAAAAATAGACAAGGCGACGACTGACAAGTCTCTAGTTTGTCTTCCCCAAGCAACTCGTGTGTGCGATGGAACGATAGCTCGTAGGAATGGAAGGGTTTTTCCCAGCTTTCAAAAAAAGGAATTATGTGGGCATGCTTCCAGCAACGAGGAAAGGCAGCAGCTTGCCAAAGATGATTAAAAAAAGCTAGCAGACTGTTCATAGATTCAGGGGACAGATTCCTCAACATTTCATACTGGAGTCTGTCTGGCCCTAGTGCAGACTGCTTCTTTGCACCAAGAGCGACCTTGAGTTTGCACATCGTGAACGGCCTGTTGTAAAAATACGAACCACACCCCGACATGAAGATGGGCTGTTTCTCAGCAGTCAAATGGAACTTGTTGAACTTTTCACTAAAATTAGAGGAGCTAATAATAAGCTGGAAATTTTCTCCAAGACCATTTGCATGATCCTTGAGCGATACAGAGGGGGAAGAGAACAGAGGGGTTTGGAAAGATTGGTAATCTCCCAAGACTTTCCGCAACCGGTCCCACACTTCTTTTGCTGAAACGAAACTATTTAGAGAAGATACATATTATACATGTACACACCCATCTACAAGGAGCAGGGGCCGAACTGGTATATTGCCTCGCCCGGAAGGCCCGGAGGGGTCCAAACATACCCGGGCTCAGCTCAGCCACCAAGAACCCCTTTTTCCCGAACACGGGTTAAGCCATACACGCCAGGCGTAGATGCTACGGGGTTCGTAGTGACGCCACTCACCAAGCACCTAACACCTTAGGTGTAGGTGCCCCCTGTGGGGACGAGGCTGAACTGCCATTTCAGAATTTGTTCAGCCATAGGGTTAAGGGAGAGCAGAGCCAAAAAAAAAATCAAAAGAACACAAAAACAGACTTGCCTGTTGCTGCGTTGTGTTTAGGCCCAGGCAACTGATGAAGGGTGTAGGATCAATGTACCTGTAGAGGGAAGAAGGTTCGATAATTTGTGAGAAGATAAAAACAAATTATTGTACTGTTTCACCCTTGATGGGGTTCAATGCCTCTCTGAGGAAATCCACATGAAGAACAAGAAGGCTGAAAGTTTATTTTGAAGGAGTAGGTACTCCGACGCTTTTTGAGTTACTCAAACTAAGTGCACTTTCGGAATACTCGGGCTTCCTCTTACTGGCAAGCTTCTCTATATTAAAAATGGCTATTAAGAAAACGGCAAACGAAAATGATGCCAAAAGCAATATTCAAACTACCACGCGCTTTCCAGTGGCATGACGTCACCTGTTGGAAAACTTGCAGGTCGAGGAGGCAGTCTCAAAGCAGAATACTGTAAACAACCTCATTTTTGTGGGCTCAATATTTTGCAAGCGTTGGGGAGTGTGGGTTTCGGGAATATTACGCGGGCAAGAAATTTTATGATTTTGAGCGATGCGTTATGCAGCATCTGTTACCACGTGGTGATATATTCGCAAGATTTCTTCTTTGCAACATTTTTCTCAAGTCGCAGAATTCACAAAACTTAGGTCCTCACGAAAATTGAGTCATTTACAGTATGTTGCAAATGTGTCTCCTGCTGCTAGGCAAGTACTGGAGTAAGCTCACACAACATTAATTTCACATTATACCAAATTTGTTTTAACCCATTAAGACCAAGTTCTACTGTCCAAATATATAGTGGATATGTGACCACTTATTCAGTGCTTCTAGTGTAGACTTGCAGTTAAAATAAATTATAAAGATAATAATAACTTTGCAAAAAAAAGAAAATTATTTTTTCCCATCATTTGAGTTACTATGGTCAATACCGGGATAAAAACCCCCTAGACGCCCTGCCTCGAGCATGCATTCGTTGTCTTCCGTCGAGCTATGGCTGACAGTGTGACAAAGTGTCATCAAAGGCAGAAAGCTTGCTCTTGAGGCGGAGCCTATAATGGCTTCTTAACCCATCACCGACTGTAGATCAGATGTGTCTATCAGCGTATTGAACCGATTTTGAGGCAAAACCATCAACCATTAAAATTTTACCTTTTTACGAAGGTCCTTGTTCACGTTTGCTGGTATTTATAACATTACATCTCTCGCAGTGTAGTTTGGGAAGAGAAATATATTTAAAAAAGTGAAAAGAAAAACCCTATTATGACTTTGCAAAGAAAGGAATGGCGTGAGGGATGAGGAAATGTGGAAAAATAAGACAACATGAATGAGGGAAGAAGAGGAAGAGCAAACAAAACCTATACCGGTTAAAAGTGAAACATCTAATTAAGAATAACTGTATCTTCCAGTCTACAAGTCTCATTGTTATACAAGTCGCAGCCTCCTATAAGCAGCCGTTTTCACCGAAATGTCTGTGTATAGGCCACACCTTTGTATAATTGACCCTTACATATTTGTATGATAGGCGTGACAGAAATGCACTGATAAGCCTGCATACTGTAAAATACTGAGGAAGCGCCCATACCCGTACAAGCGCCCACTATTAACATTTTTGAAATTCGAAAATTTGGGCAAAACCCTAATAAGCGCCCATAGTTGGCTTATTTCGATAAAATGGGGGTGGGCATTTCTTCAGTATTTTACGCTATCTGTCTTGTGATCGTAATATGCATATTGTTGTTGTTTGCGGGTTTTATGGCGCAACAGCTCCGACGGCCATACTGCGCCAAACTAGGTAAGTTAAGAAACATTGGTAAAAGTGCTCTGACTAGACTAGAACTTGACTATAGTTTGTGTAAGATACCTGTAGTTTTGAGAAAAGCTAAAAGACGTTCAAATGATACGAGAGGCTGTTCCCCTAGAACCAAGACAGGGTGAATTGGGATGTTGTCCTTGAAAAACTCAGGGAAATAGGTCTTGTATTGTTGTAGAAGGCCACGGCAGAGAAACAGAAAGTGCAGAACAGATAAAGTTTCTCCACAGTGCTCGCATATTGGCGGTTCCTCACCTATAAGCAGATATTGATGGGTCAGGAACGAGTGGCCGATTCTCAACCGGCACAGGAGGACTTCATGAAAACGATTTTTATTATATGAGGTTTCCCATACACCAAGTTCTGGTTTGATGGCATGAAGCTTATTATTATTGGCTAACTTCCATTCAGATTGCCATAGCTGTGACAGTGAAAATTTTACGGACGTTTTAAGGTCTTGGTAAGGTATGCGAACATTCAATGGTAAAAGGTTCTGTGAAGAGGCAGCTAGTCTGTCTGCAGCCTCGTTGCCTGCAATACCCACATGGCTCGGGACCCAGCAAAACTTGATGTCCCTCCCACCAGCGAGTCCCTGTTGAGCTCTGGCCCGTACGAGCAGAGTCAACCTGTTTGTAGTTGGTGCAGCAGAACATACTGCACTAAGAACACTTTGAGAGTCCACAAATATAATGGCTTTCATCACCTTGTCCCTGATTATGTAGTCAAGTGCTGTTAGAACACCATATAGTTCAGCAGTAAAAATGCTGGTGACATTGTGAAGTCGAGTAACATGGGTAAACGAATTCGAATAAACAGCGGAGCCGACATACATTGAGGTCTTGGCACCGTCAGTGTAAATTTGGCAGTAATGTCTATATTTTTCTTGTAGAGCTAAGAATTCTTGTTGTAGAATGAGTGGAGAAACATTATGCTCATTAAATTTTGTAAAATACCAATTGCAAGCTATAGGTTTGATATTCCATGGGGCAGTATGATATGCACTTTCTAGGAAATGAACACCCTCGCGTGGCAGGTTAAGAAAGAGACGGAGGCTCTCAAAATGAAGGCTCAGGGGTCGAACAACAGTTGGTTTATGCTCGAAAGTACGATAAAACTTAGAGTCTCGAATACTACTGTGGGCTGGATGGCTGGGTTCTGATAACACCTTGTAGGCATAAACTAGACTTAGATACTGCCGCCTTTTTTCGAGTGACATTTCATTGGAGTCAGCATACAAGCTTAAAACAGGAGATGTTCTAAAAGCACCAGTTGCAAGACGCAAACCAAGGTGATGCACAGGGTCAAGCATTCTTAAGGTAGACGGTCAAGCAGACGTGAGCACAACAGACCCATAATTAAGGCGCGACCATACTAGAAGGAAATACAAATGAAGTAGACACCCCCTATCAGAACCCCAAGACTTGAGTGAGAGGACTTTAAGAATGTTCAATGCCTGCACACATTTCTGCTTTAGCCATTTGAGGTGGGGAACAAAGCTAAGCTTACTGTCAAATATCACCCCCAGAAACCTATGCTCAGTTCTAACTTCAATGGAATCTCCATTTAATATGAGAGTGGGCTCCAACCTTAGCCCCCGCCGCAAAGAAAAGGGGACACAAATAGTTTTTTCTGGAGTGAACGTAAAACCATTCTCGTTAGCCCATTTAGTCATTTTATTTATGGCTAGTTGTAGCTGCCTTTCACAACTAGACATATTACATGATGCTACAGAGATTTGAATGTCATCAACGTATAATGAATATGATACTGAGGAAGGTATGACACGACAGAGAGAGTTAATTTTTATTGCGAAAAGGGTGACACTAAGTACTCTGCCCTGAGGAACACCATTCTCCTGGACAAAGCAATTGGATACTGTTGCGCCTAACCGTACACGAAAGAAACGTCCACTAAGATAGTTTTTTATACAATGAAGCATTCTGCCACGTACTCCATACATGAACAAGTCACGCAGGATGCCATATCTCCAAGTGGTATCGTAAGCCTCTTCTAAATCAAAAAAGACAGATACGCAATGCTGCCTATTCACAAACACCTCACGTACAACAGTCTCCAGCCGGACTAGATGGTCTATGGTGGAACGTCCTGATCGGCACCCACATTGATTTACATCCAAAACATTGTGTTGCTCCAGGAAATAAACAAGACGCTTATTAATCATCCTTTCAAACGTTTTCCCTAAGCAACTAGTCAGTGCAATCGGCCTGTAACTTGTAGGAAGTGAAGGATCTTTTCCAGGCTTCAGCAGCGGAATTACTTCTGCCTGCTTCCAATCGGCGGGAAGTGTGCATCGTTCCATAGTTTATTGAAATATGTCAGGAGGGCTATGAGTGACTCCTCCGATAAATGCCGAATCATCTCATAATGTATCCGATCAGGACCGGGCGATGAACGCTTCCGGATTTCGAGAGCCATTTGAAGCTCAACCATTGTAAATGGCTGATTATATGGCGCAGACGCTCCTCCTGCCAAGCTGTCTTTCATTCTTTCTGCATCTGCTTAAAACTTCAGAAACGCTGGAGAGTAGTGAGAGGAGTTTGAAACGGCTGCAAATTGTGCGCCCAACACGTTTGCCTGGTCATGTAGCAAGCTTACAGAGGGAAATAGAGGGACTGTAAAGCAGCGGTATTTGCCTTCGACCTTGTGCAGTCAGTCCCACACTTCCTTTGCTGGGACGTAGCAGCTGATAGAGGACAGATAGCCTCTCCAGGACTTATCTTGGCCTGCTTCCTGGTCCAACGAGCTTGGGCCCTATTTCGCTGAAATTCTAGTAAATTCATGAATGTCGGATATCTGCGAAATATACCCCATGCCTTGTCCTGTTTTTTCTTAGTATTAGAACAATCTTCATTCCACCACGGTTTACACTTTTTGGGGATGTTAGAGGAGGTTTGAGGGATGGAGCGAAAAGCGGCATTAGTGATCCGTTCTGCAATGTATGTGGTGGCTTCATCATGCGTTAAGGACAAGAACATGCAAGGCTTAAGCTCTGCATTTAGGTTGAATAGACCCCAGTCTGCCTTGTCAAGTTTCCAACGAGGGGTAAGTTTCATTAGGCTTGAAACAGAAACCGGACTCTCCAGAATAACTGGAAAGTGGTCACTTCCAAAAGGATTATCTAATACTTTCCATGTAAATAAAGAAAACAATGAAGGTGATGAGATAGCAAGATCGACAGATGTAAATGAATTGTGAGCTGCACTGAAAAAGGTTGGCTCTCTCTTATTCACAAGGCAGAGCCCAGATGTTAATAAAAACC